CAAGCATCAATCTCCAACTCATTGATGACCCCAGGCAAATCATTGAGCATGGCCGACCTGTTACAGCTGACCAGTGTCTTTCCCCTGAAGAGAGGGAAAAAGATCTCGAAGACGGAGACGTCAAAGGTAGGTGCAGCAAACTGAAGGAACCGTGAGAACTCGGGGATGTGTCGATCGTGAGCTAGCAAAGACTGAGTGGCAGCGTCGTGGGTGATGGGCACGCCTTTGGGAGTTCCTGTCGAGCCGGAGGTGTACATGACATAGGCTAGGTTCGTTGGTGTTGGTCGCCTGTGTTCGACTGTCTTTGTGGATGTGAAGGCCTCTTCGGTGAGTAGGAGAACCAACTTGCCCGTTCCATCCTCGGGCACCCTCTCCGCCAACTCGGGCGTGGTAATGACCAAGGCAGCCGAGACTTGGTCAAGGATGAACTTTGCTCTTTCCAGAGGAATATCAAGGTTAAGGGGACAGAAGGCCGCTCCGGCTTTGAGAATCGCCAATTGGGCAATGTACAAATCTGGACATTGGGGGACGAGGACCGGGACGATAGGTTGTGAGTCGTCGTCGGTCACCGGCCCGACGAGAGACGATATCCTGGCCGCCAAGGAGTCAGATCTTCTGTGCAGCTCGTGGTACGACAGTGAGACCCGCGAGCCGTCAGGGGCGAGGTAGTCGATGGCGAGGGCATCATTGCCTCTTGTCTCGGAGCGGTGTTGTACGAGATGATGAAGGAGACTGGGACCTGGGAGTTTTGTTGGTGGGTGGTTGGCAATGGAGAGGGCAATGTCTGGGTGCGAGTCGACTGTTGCCATTGTGGGTTGGTTAGTTAGTGGGTGGTGATGGCCTCTTTGGCCTTTTGTTGTCTTTCGGCACGATGAAGTGCTATTATTGAGCCGGATAGGAGCCCGTTTTCAGCGGTTTGCGCGGCGGATGTAGTGGGACACCAGGACGGGAGGCTGCTGTAAGTGATATGATGTGGTGAGACTGTCCAATGAGGAATCAGAGCGTCCTGAGTAACTCTAGTTGGTGTTGCTGATGTGCGGACTGATATACCCAAAACGTTAACACGAGTCCCCAAGGCGTCAATCTTATTCGCTACTTGCCCAAGGACGGCCATGTGTTAAACACGACCTATGGTAGGTATCAGATGGACACAAACAGAGGAAGAGACTTACGAAGTCTGGTAGTGGTGATTGGCTGTGCTTGAGGGTGAAGTACCAGTTGATGTTGGATGATTTGATTTCTATGCAAAATCATTGGTCAGAGGCCGTCGACATGAAGAAGAACAACATGAGGAGGCTCAGTTCAGTCAACGTTGATTTTGAAGTGGGAGACAGTCTGTCTGTGATGGGTCTGCTATCCCGGGACTGGAGTGCCAAGGAGAGCGGGAGGGACGGGGGTGCAGATCTGTGTCTGTGTCTGTGGTTGACGACGGTGGAATCACCGGGCATGTTCCCATGAGAGACGGTGGTGGTGAAGTCGGGAGCGAGAGACTGAAGAGGGGAAAGACGACGTGATGTTCCATGGATGGCGGCATCCTTCCCTTTGCAATTGCCTACAGTAGCTCGCTCGATAAGTAATTTTAGTGGAGCTGCGATGGATCGCTCCAGTCGAAACTTGGAAGTTGCAATGCGACTATCCTCCCTTGTTTGCCAGTGTTTTGGGCAGGTGCCGGAAATTGCGTCCGTCCTCGTCTTCTTCCCAAAATGCCTTCCTTCCGTGTGGTCTCCAGCTGCTGTCCCGTGTTTTGTCCGGTCCCGAGTTGAGCCCGGCCCAAGCTCGGTGGTGTTCACAATACCGTAGAGGTAGGAGGGGCCGTTCCGTGTCCGGTTCCGCTCCCCGCCGTCAACTCCGGCCGCCGGTCCATGCAGGTCTTGGCCTGTTCCAGCTGGTGATCATTCACGAATGAAATCCAGATGTTCGTACCTTGATCGAGATATGCAAGGTACCGATACCCTTATTCTTCGGTACTCAATGCCGGTCTTCAAGTTATCACATCTGGATGCCGTCGCAAATGAAAGACCAGCTGCAAATCGAGGCACCCTTAGTTTTGTCGGTAGAGCCAAGATCCAATTATTGAAACATACCTTTACTTGATACTCGTAACATTTACCTTCAAGATCGAAATGCAAACTCTTCAAAATGTCACTGCAACCACACTACAGTAAAAGTGGCCGCCAGTGACGACGGTGCGGACGTTCCTTCTTGGAGAACCAAAAATCGAGATGGTGTGATGACCTCAGGTTACAGTGGAGACGTTGGGGTCCCTCTCCACTGTGTTGTGAGGATTTCGTGTTCCTTCAATTGTTGCCCGTCCATCCTATTTCTCACTACGTAGAGGTATACCTCGGCAATGCCTTGTATTTTCATCCCCCCCTTCTTCATTTTCCATTACTCCTACTTTCCCATCAGTTCATCTCCTTTTGCCCTTGTTTTTTTGAGCCGGATGAACCCTCATCGACTGTGTTCGTCGTTCGATTTCAAATCGACTGTGTGGAGTCCAAACTGAGCAAACTGCCTGCCAAGACCTAAAGCTTGGCATTTTGGCATCGCTCTGGCACGGGAGCGACCATCACCGACGGGAATCCTCACCAAAAGACATTCGACCACTTTTGCACCAAAACAACGAGAAATGAAACCACCTTTTTCTTTTATGATGCTGAAACTCTATTTCACACGCGGGGGCCTTTCGGCATCGGTCCCCTGCACCCCCGGAACGAATTCTAACACCTAACCCTGACCGCTAGCCCTAGCACTGACCTTGGGAGCAGCCCGCGCAAAGCTAGGTACATAGGTACATGATTCAGCGTCGACACCGGCCCCGGATCTATCCAGCTCTTTTTTTTGTTTTAGGTCCTTTTTTTTTTTTTTTTTTTTTTTCCTAAAAAGATCCTTTCTTCCTCTCTTCTTCTTTTTTCACCTCTCCGTGATATCAATGGTGATAACGGTTCTTCCGGAAAACTCAGTGTAGCACCTTTCTTCACCTGCCAGGCATGCAGGCATTGTACCTGCGTGACTTTGTCTTAGGCCATGTTGATCGATCCACTAGCTTACGTACCTTTCTTGCTTGAACCTGTCGATTGCAGCACTTCCCCTTCGCTTGAACAAGTTTCAGAGACCTACAGTAATTGTAACGTATCGAGAACTGACTGGAAGCTCCAGAAGGCTACTTACAACACGTTTCGAAAGTCGAAAGATGCTGCTGAATGGCCTTCAATGTTCGTTGATATCAAGCCACCATATCGCCGACGCCCCTCGTTGCCGCTGTCTGGTTTGCGCCATTAACGACGACAACGCGGCCGGGGTTGGCGATGGTGGGAACAAACGGAGGAGCGAAAACGGTACGACACTTGCAGGGAATAAATGATCTGGCGTTTCGGTCTCCGAGGTGATGGATGGATGCTGCGTGGTGCTAGCACCATCAAATCTTATCAGATCATCAGATATTATCCCGTAGGCCCGCGGAAAGCTCCAGAATGGTGAAAAGGCTAAAGACGTGCCCTTGCCGGACCATTCATGACAGGATCCAGCCCCCCACAACAGGGTGCACCTCGGGTCGGACCAAGCATCCCAGTACGGATGGACATGAGTCAAAATTTTCATCCCACTGTGGGTGAGATGAGACTCGGAGTCACTGGTTCAGGGGAAGAGGAGTGACTGGGTTGTTCAGCTTTATTATACTCTACTCCTTTCTTTTCCTCGGAAGCTCAGCCAGCGTGGCAGACTGATGACCTGGAAGTAAAAGATATGTGTTTGAAACCGATGTTGATGAGAGTGTGCGCATTTACACGAACCCTTGGAATGGTCAAGTCGGCCAACTAATAAAAACAGTCCTCAAACGGCCGAAATGACTAGAAAAAGACAATGATCGGTGACGCAATCCTTGGAAGAAAAAAAAAAGGCGGAGTCCCAAGGCAAACCGCACTCCACCCAGGTCCGATCTGATAATGATTTTTTTTCTCTCTCTCTCGCCTTTCCATTCCGCCCATTCCCGCCTCTCCATCCGGCGTCGTACTTGTGACAGCGGCTTTTTGTACTCTCCAACCCCGGCCCATGTTCACTGTTCGGACATGCGGAAAGACGAGACGGTCTCGGGCCATGAGTGGTGCCTGAATGGTCGAGATCAGATAAAACATCCACTGATCGCATCTTATCTGATCCGAAGATAACGCCGGTGCCGCCCCGACGCATCCCGGACCTGAGCCTGGCGAACCCACTTGTGGCACCTTCCTCTGAAGCACGAACCTGGCAAGCAAACGGACATGAGCCAGGTCTTGACGGCAATTGGCCAACCAAGATCCGTTAGGAAGATTCCAACCCCACTGAAATGGAGTCATCACCAACCCCACCATCCTTCTCCATGTCCCATCCATCATCATCGTCACAACAACCGAACTGGACTGAACTGCCCCCAGCAGGACACCGTCACAGAGCTCCCACCACACTGTCAACCCACACTGATTGCTGCCGGCCATCGATCGAGAACTCGGCACTGCAGTGTGAGTCTCGGAACCACGATACGGTGATACTGTCCTGACACCAAGGCTATGGACCCGGAATTGCCAGGAAAACCAGACACCACCATGGCGACGAGAAAAGCGGGACCGACATACAAGTGGGAGGAAAGTGAGGGTCGAAAACACATGAATTGAGAACACCAACCGAGAGACCGTCCGGGAGGGAATCCGTCCCCGCAATCGATCCAACGTTGGAATCATGCCATGGATTGCACCACAAGCCGGATGGAGCTCCGCAACTCAGCCAGGATAGCCCGGTAAACACCAGCAACAGCAGCACGTTTGGTTCTTGGCCCAACTAGCTCGCATATTCGTCCCCAGCAGCGAACAGCTCGGCTCGAGGCAGAAAGCAGTCAAGATGGAACCGCAACATGGGACGAGAACGCTAGACTACACCATATAGGTCCTCCGAGTGGGAATGGAGACACACGGTGCGTGTTTACTTACATATGTATTACACCTGACCCTCTTTGATCCAAAGATCAACAACTCTCTTCTCTTTACCACAGTATCAAAACGGCCGCCTCTGCCACCTACTTTTCCCACTTCCACTCCCTCTTGCTTTTCCCTTCCTTCCCCTTTCCTATACCTCCTCCATCATCCAAAGCAACCCTCGCGGTGTTACTCGACCTCTCCCTTCCTATCCTCCTCCCGTCCCCTCATTCACCCGGTACTACCGTTGGGCTTTTTGAGCACCACCTGTTCCCGGTTTCTACTACGACTTGCATCAATCCTAGACAAGACAACGTGGGCAACTCCGTTCCTGGCATCTACATACTCTGTGCAAGTTGGAGTTAACGCGTGGATTCACTACAGCAGACACGAACCCCAAGTCACACAGACGTTGTTCGCCATTGGACTTGATTCCCCGCAGCCAGTTACACCGGGATCGCCCAAGCTCAACTGTTACTGTGCCGCCATAATCCCGTCATTCCGCCATATATCCACAGTAAAGCAGCCTTACGGCGTCCATACATCACACTCAACATTTAAGAAATGTCGCCTCACTGCAACATGGATGACTCTTCCTCCGTCTCGTCCAGTGGTTACACCTCTGAGCCTGTGGCCAATGGCGTGAGCAATAGTTCTGCCGCTGCTACCACCACCAGCCAATACAAGAACTTCTCCAAGAGCCGCCATTTGAGGCACACACCTTCGGATGAGATCCACGATCTCGTTTGCGTTGGCTTCGGCCCCGCCAGTATTTCCGTCGCCATTGCTACGCACGACGCTATCGAGGCCGGCCAGCTTTCCGAGTCGCCCAAGGTCCTCTTCCTCGAGAAGCAGGCCGATTTCGCCTGGCACGCCGGCATGCTCCTTCCTGGAGCCAAGATGCAGATTTCCTTCCTCAAGGACCTTGCCTCTCTCCGCGATCCCCGCTCCCACTTCACTTTCCTTAACTACCTGCACCAGAATGATCGCCTCATCGACTTCATCAACCTCAGCACCTTTACCCCTGCGAGAGTCGAGTTCGAGGACTACCTTCGGTGGTGCGCACGCCATTTCGATGACGTTGTAAGGTATCAGACCGAGGTTGTGGCCGTTGAGCCCGTTCAGTCCTCCGGGCCTAACAAGCTCTTCACGGTTACTTCCCGCGACATAATTACTGGCGAGATCACCACCTTCCAGGCTCGCAACGTTTTGCTTGCTCTCGGCGGCCAAGCCTCGATCCCCAAGCCTCTTCCCCAGAAGCACCCCCGCGTCATCCACTCGAGCCAGTACGCCAGCGTGATTCCCAAGCTTCTTCGCGACCAGTCCGCTCCCGTGCGCGTGGCTGTTCTCGGTGCTGGCCAGTCAGCGGCGGAGATCTTCAACAACGTTCAGAACCTCTACCCCAACTCCAAGACTTATATGATTATGCGCTCCGAGTTCATGAAGCCTTCTGATGATTCACCCTTGTACGTTCTCTGTGCCTCTTCCCTCCCATCTTGTTCTACTTGGGAAGCATGGAACTAACAATTCTCTACTAGTGTCAACTCCATCTTCAACCCCGAGTTCATCGACACCATCCACGCCCGCCCCTCGGCCTACCGCACCCACTTTCTTGCCGACGCCAAGGCGACCAACTACGGCGTTGTCCGTCTCGAGCTCATTGAGCACCTCTACGAGGTCATGTACCACCAGCGCCGCGTGCTCGGTACCGACGAGACGAAATGGCCCCACCGTATCATGGCCGCGCGCAAGGTCGTCTCGGTCTCGGAGAAGGGTGATACGCTCAAGATCAAGGTCGGCCGCTACTTCTATGGCGAGGAGGAGGAGACTGATGTCACCGATGGACCCATTGTGGACGAGGAGACGCTCGATGTGGACGTGATTATTTGCGCTACTGGCTACAAGCGCATGGCGCATGTGGATATGCTCAAGCCCACGTGGCCGCTGTTGCCTGAGGCCGATCAGGCGCTGGTCGCTGAGGCTGCCAAGGGATCATCCAAGGATAGGTGGTTTGTCGAGGGTGGCGAGGAGAAGAGCATGAGGGTGATTGAGGCCAACCGTGATTATTCGGTCAAATTTGGGGAGGGCAAGGTCGCCCAGGGCAGTGGCATCTGGTTGCAAGGGTGCTGTGAGGGAACTCATGGTGTAAGTCTTCCTTTCTTGTCTCTCTGATGACGGGGGTGCATTTTGTCGATGATGAACGCTAACGGTCACAAACAGTTGTCTGATACTCTTCTTTCTGTTCTGTCTACACGGTCTGGCGAGATCGTCAAGTCAATTTTCGGTGCTTAAAAAGGTGGAGGGAGGGAGCACGATGATACCAATGTTGTTGCTTGTGTCACAGCGAGAGCGATTTTTCCTTTTTTTTTTTTTTTTTACATCCATTGATGATTGTCTGAATCTGGAACGGAAAAATACCTTTGGGGTTTTCACATGTTTTTTTGGTTGGAAAGAAAAAAATTTCCTTACATGTCACTTTTACTTCTGTTGTACATAATTTTTCTATTATTATTTTCGGTTGTTGGCTTTGGCATAGCATAGCTTTCATGCTTGTCTCGTTTTGCAGGTGAACCAAAAAAGCGTTGGGTATACCTTTTGGACACACACACTTCTTCGACCTTCTGTCTTGCACAAGTTTTTATTACTGGCAGGGATAATCACAACTTTATGGAGCTGGCGGTGGTGTGGTTGTTTCTACCACTCGCGCGATTTTCCACGTGCAGCGCGATTATCAGATCATCAGAAGGACGGGAAAAAAAAATGCGGGAAATGTAGCAAGGGGCCGATGATCGGATCAGATAAAAAGTTTTCGACCCCTCTGGGTTGGGATTCGAAACACGCCCTTGGTTGGCGATGGCCTTGGCATCAGATTACGTACGTATTTTTGAGCCGAAGAGACGAGGGGCGGGCGGAGGAACGCTCGGCGGATCTGCTAAAACACACGCGGCCGACAAAAAACGGCGTTGAACACGAGTTCGAGGTCGAGGGTGCCAGAGAGTGCCTGGTGGCTGGGAACGGAGCTGGGGAAAGACTTGAAAACGGAGGCCATGATGGTGGCAGTCGGTGGAAGATGCAGTGCCTGCCGTGCCTGTGGCAGCGGGGGACGTGGGGGGTCCACTTCACATCACCATCTCATCTCCGAGTGTGCGTGGTGTCTGGGAGCTATTCTTACGGTTGGTGTTCTCAGCTAACTCCAGTCGACGGACCTGAAGCACAAGTGAAAGCTCCAAAGGAAACTGAAGCGGCGGGATTGAGAACCTTTGTTGGCAACTTAGTTGAATCAAGAAGGACCCGCCGTGACTGCAGCCAAAGGAAAAAAAAAAAATTGCCTCAAGGTTCAAGTTCCTGTCCCATTGGCGACCCTTCCGAAGTTGACGAACCCCTCACTTATAGTACATACCACTTGCCATTTCAGTTCTCGTCGGCGTCAAGCAATGCACGAATGTTTAAGACCGGGAAGGTGCGCGGGCAGATGGTGTACACGAAATGCAGTGTGCACCTTCTCGGTCTGGATCAGTGCAACTCGACTGGCGACTGCATGGTCCCTTCCGCGCGGGGCTTTTGTTTGATGCCAGACGTGGATGCCAAATTCGGCTAAGGTCCTAACAGCTTTTGGTGCGCTCACTACCGCACTCGGTTAGAGAGCCATCTAAACTTACACGTTCAATCCGTCCGTCACAAGCCTGAGTGGGCCAATTCCTTTCTTCTTCCCGCTGTCCCCTCGTTTGCGAGTGTCACTTTTTCCCCGCGGCACCACTCAGCACTCAACTCCCGTCGAATTTCAAAAAGATCCACTTTCCATCATCCTCCCGCGCCAGGCAACATTCTCCATCCTCTGCGTGAAGCTTCAGACCTCTGTTCATTGTCTCGTGACTTTCATCACCTCATGGTGGGCCATAAACCAGAAGGCTTCAACGTTCCTCTCCGAAACAAAACATAGCCCGAACCCACCCACAGCATCCACACCATCCACACCACATCCATGCCCGCCTCCTCCTCCAGAAAAGGGTACTACGGCCGAAGCTATCAGAACGATCATCAGTCACGTCCCTGCCGATCAACATCGTTACATATGTACCTCGTTTGCAAGGTCTCAGTCTTTGCTAAAGTCGTCGCTGGAGACTGAAGGCGAGCAAGCTTCGTTCGGCGTTACGGTTATTTCCTTTCCTGTCTCCTCGTGGCAATCGTTTAACATACAGTAATTGTCTCATCACGGGACGTGCCGTTGTCTTTCAATGTTGCTTGATGTGTTGTTGACAAGTGTGTTGATTGCTTCAAGCACTGTTTGTTCTCTGGCTGCCACCTGACGACCCACGCCTGTTGTGTTAGCTTGACGAGACTCTTGTTACCTTTGACACATTTTATGATATCGGCCTGTTTCTTTCTTGCGCTCCGAGTCCATGTTTGTCTCGTTTCCCAGCGACAATGTTTGATGTTTCAAGTAGCACTCTGTCATGACATTGAACAGTTATCTGAGTTGTGCGCATATCCAGCAATCTATCCGCTCTGATTCTCCCAAAAAATCCGTTTACGCTGCCTTACCCTTTCACAATGGCCTCTTCGTGGAAGCAATGCCTGTGTTCTCGGACTGGTTGCCCGCAACTTAGGTGCTCAAATGAGTCTGGAAATTAAAAGAGTGGCTTCATCTCTGCTTTTTTTATACCAGTCACAGTGGGACACATATTTCATTTGGCATTATTTGATAAGCTTTCACTGACTTTTGAGCTGTGCTATAAAGGGGAGGACCGAAACTGGCCATGAACCTCCCGCAATGGCTCAGTTAAGCACCAACCCTCTGTTGAACGATCTACGAGAATCTTTATGAGGATGGTGACTATACTCTGCCACATACAAGCGCTGGACCCATTTGCGTAGGGTACCAAGCAGGCAGTGTGGCTCAAATATTACAATATCTTACATATGCGATGCCCCTTACTTTCCCTTCTTCTCGTCCTTTTGCTTCTCGTTTCCCTTCACTTTCTGCTTGCCATTCACAGCATTAGCACCAGCACCAGCACCAGCACCAATATCACATTCCTTCTTATGTCTCTTCCAATCCGCCACCTGACACTCCTTCGAGCAATAGCGTGCTTCCTTGCACTTGGAGCACTGATTCAAGTCGCCTCCAGTCGCGCGATTCTTTGGCTCGTTGCAAAAATTGCATCTGTATCCCACAGTAGACTTTGTGGTAGCCGTGGCGGGTCCAGGTTTGGCATTAGCTGAAGCCGACTTGGTGCTAGCAGGAGGCGGGGCTTGAACTGAAGATTGACCCGAGGTTGAAGGCCGCTTCGGATTCAGAGCTAAACGAGCAGCTTTAGCCACCAGAGCTTGGGCCTGGGCTTGAGTCAAGCCAGTGCTAGTCGAAGCCGCAACCGGAGTTGAAGTCGAGGCTGGTTTCGGAGGCCGTATTTCGTGTGCTTTGGCGGACAACGTCGAGCGAGTGCCAGTTGGGGCTATCGTTCGAGTCGGAACTGAGGCCGGAGCTGACCTTGTGGGGTTGGCTTGGATCCTGTTCGCAGATGGAGGCTGGCTCATGCCGGTTGTAGCCGGAGCCAGAGTCGAGGTAGAAACGGGAGCTCTGCCCAGAGCTGCTGCTGCTGAAGTTGAAACTGCACCCGGAGCGCCAGGAGTCACACCTGTAACTGGACCAGTATGGGGATAGAGTAGAGGATCCCAGCTCATCGGGTGCTGATACGGTTCTCCAAGCCCTGGACATCCAAACGGAAGGCTGATGGCCGCTCTAACAAGATACGGCCCGATCTCCTCCCATTGTGGGATCGGATAATCTCCACACACTGACCAACTCTTAGGCAGTTTACCCATGCTGCACGAGCAAAACACCGGATCATCCTTCCGAGACTGCACATGGTTCGCCACCGGTGCCCTCTGCTTCTTCTTGTACTCACAAGTTGGTTCATGCTCCCATGTATGGCCGCGACACCGCTCAGCAAAAGCAGGCAGAGCCTCCTTCCAAGTTCTCATCGACTGGGACATGACGGATTGATTATAAATAGGCATCGGGTTGCCGATGCTCCCGTCTGTCAAGTATCTGGGCAAGCTCTGGCGCAACTCCTTGGTGATCACCAGCACAGCGGTATCCAGTATCACCGTTCCATGAGCCAAGTCCAGACAGATGCCGTCTTTCGCAATAAAGATGACGATTCGTCTCATCCCATGTCTAGAATGTTCAGGTTGATTGCCAGTGGCAGCACCCTCGCTCCAACTGACACTACTGCCGGTGCCGCTGCCCATCTCCTTGCCGCAGTCAAGACAATTCTCATGGCAAGTGCAATCCGGCGACTTCTGGCTGGGAGCAAAGTCGCACAGCGCAAACACGCTCCTACATTCAGTATCCGGCGTCAACATGATATTCGGATTTATGTGCCTCCAGTCTGACTTCGGCCTCAGGATCCCGGCCGCCATGTCAAACAGCGTGGACAAGGTGATTTTGAACTCAAACCTGGCATGCTCGCCGGATGTTATGAGATACCGATTCAGAGCGTTAGCAAACTGTTCGTCTTTTTCCTTGAGCTGCTTCTCCTTTTCCTCGCGAGAAGCATTTTTCGGGAGTGGGTCAGCGATCTGAGAGAAATGCGAATGCATTGTGGCTTCGCGCCGGGAGAACTGGTAGTGGTGGTTTTGTAGCTGCAACCACCAGAGGCAGAAGCGGTTAGTACTGTGGAGGGAAGGGTCCGGGAGGCAGCCGATGAGAGGGCCACTTTGGCAGAAGCGGGGAAGGGTGTCGAGAGGATTACCGGAAGACGACGAGGGGGATGATAGAGAAGATGAATTGGAGGAATGCAGATATGGGAGAGACCAGTTCATGGGTTTCTGAGTGCTTTGCTCCAAATGGACGGGATGCATAAAGGATGGGGTGAAGAAGGTCCTCCAAGCGAAGGGTTCGATCGGAGTTTCCAGGTCGATGAAGCCTTTGGACCGGCCAGTGCGGATTTTTTGCTTTTCATGGTTGGTGGGGAGCGGAATGTCGATGAGAAATATCACGGGACACAAGTGGGAGTAGTTGGAGCCGTGGGAGAAGAATGAAGCGGTGGGGTCTCTGGAAATGATGAGATGATAAGAGCAAGGGGTGACCGGCACCGAGCGGATTTTGCATTCCCTATTTTCCAGTCTGTCCAGGAGACGGTCGGTGAGGAAGGTAATTCGTGTGCTGATCGATTGGATGCGTTGGTGGTTCTCGTCCATCTTGGCCGTCATCATCGTCTTGACCGCGGGAGGCACGGGCTCCTAGTCCTGTGGCTCTTCCGTTAAACCGCACATCCTCGTCACTCCGCTTTGGTTTGGCATATGCTGACTGATGAACACAGACGAACCGGAACCCAAGTTAGCCTCAAAGACCTTCAGGTTCATCTTCAAAGTTCCTGATGCCATGAATGAAAGTTCGTTCCGCCCCGCAACATCGGGGCCAATCGTAGGCACAACTTCAAGGGTCACCAACCCCGTCACTGCGTCCCTCAACAAGATGCTGGTAGGAACCATGAAGCTGACGAACAGGTCGCTCTGTCCCTCCCATCCGAGCGGATCTGTCTCGATGTTGAGCCTGAATCGAGGAGTGAAACGCCGTCCTTTGGTCTCGAGCTGACCAAACCCTGTCTGCAAGGAAGCAAACAAGTGGCCAGGCAGGTTGGCGACAGGCTTACCTTCATGGTCATGCGTAGGGCGAATGCAAGCCTGCAAAGCCGGAACGTATCGTGCAGGTATCTTTCCCCTGCCCCTTCCTCCGCCAGCTATCTCAGGTCTCAAGATGTTCAAACCTGTCTCCAAACTCAACATGATGGTTTTCAAAGTGAGGAGTGAGTGTCGGGGGATCCGCACAGTAACTGCGAGGGAGCTCGGAATGTTGATCCACTGGTAGAGACTCGTGTTGTGCTTGCTGGCACTATGGATTGCCTCGTGGGCGGGGTTGTACACTCTCGGTTTGAGCAGGGCGTCGGGGTCGGGTATGGCGTGCTCGGGCGAGGAGTAGGCACCGAAATGGTGGAGGATGGTGCAGAGCTCTTGGTCGAACGAGCCTTGGGTTTCGACGTAGTTGACGAGGGAGTGCTTGAGGGATTCAATCATTACTTCCATCGTATGGTGCCAGGCAATGGTCTGGCGCGAGGGCAATGATGAGAAGAACGGGGAGAACGTGGCCGCTGAGGGGGCGATGATAGTGGATGCAGAAGATGACTCTGAGTCGCTCTTAGATGAGTCCGAGAAGTGAGAGCAGGGAACGAGGTTGGGTACCGGGGACGAGGAAGGCTCATAGGGGTCTGATCGTTCGAAATTGACGTTGGCGTCGCGGTCGGAGGAGTTGGAAGTTGTGGCACTCTCGCCATGGCCGTCGTCGCCGTCTGCGGTTGCTGCCGCCGAGTTGGTGGAAGCGGATGGGTCGGGAGAAGAACGACAGGCGTCAATGGTTGCTGCAAGGATTTCGCTAATCTCTCCATTGATCGAATCTCTGTCGGGCTCAGAAGACGTCTTTCTGATTTCGTCCAGAAATTCCGAGAAATCCACCTGCCCGATGGACTCATCCTCAGACGGATCAGTGGTTGGCAGTGGATCGCCGAGGATGACCACTCGCTCCTGAACAATCTTCAAAAGCGACGCAAAGGTCGCCCGATTGCATGTCCTTGGACTTAGCAACCTGAAGCCCACTCCATGCCTGTGAGCACTTCCTTCAACACCTGGGTCACTAGGGCCATCGCCATCGCCATCGTTCTTTCTCTCAAACAAGTACCTCGACTCATACATCCTCGAGTAAACTTGCAGCAGAAACTCTACAAGCTCATCAGCTTGAAACCGGATCTTGCGCAGTGGCATCTCCGTCCGCATGTTTTCCCACCTCTCCTTCTGGTTGCGGAATTCGCGCCGAAGCTCAAGGTCCCTTAGCACGAATGCCGCTTGCTGAAACGCCCTGGAATCAAGCATTTCCTCACGTATTTCCGGAGGGATGTTGCGTACATGTTCCGGGATATCTGCCTTGGCGGTGGTCTTCTTCTTCTGAGGTTTCTTTTTCTTCTTCGCCTTGCCTTTTCCTTTTCCTTTTCCTTGTTCCACCTCTATGTCCTCCTCCTCCTCTTCTTTTTCGCACTCCTCTGCCTTCAGAGCCTTCAAATGCTCAGAAATCTCCCTTGTCGTCTTCTCGAATTCCTCGAAATCCCTTGCAAACTCTTCCATTACCTCACGCAGAACGGGACTAGGGCCAGGCCAGATGTTGTTCTTGTCGCTGATGGTCCAGTCCCTGCCGCTGCCGTCGGTGGGTTGGTGGTAGACGGGCCGCTTCCAGGTTAGGCGCTGGTTGAAGTACTGTGCAGCGGTGGCTGGAGTGGTGGTTGGGGTTGAGGAGGGCGCCGGGGAGACACCAAAAGCGGGAGGAGGAGGAGGACTCGGCGTTCCGAGAGAGGGTGGTGCTGGGGCAGAGGTGGAATAAGGGGAAGAGAAAGTAGGTGGCGGAGGAGAGGGATAAGTGTTTGTGTAGTATTCTACTGGCGACAGTCCAAGGAGAAGGGACATTGTGAGGAGGTCGCCATGGAGGAGAGTGTCTGCTACCTCTTGGGGTGTCTTTGGTCCCAGCCTCGCATCGTTGCTGTCGGAAGGCCGAGGCAGGGGAAGTGTGTGCTCGGTGTACAGTGTTGCTGCCAGTCGATTTTCAAGGAGGGGAGAGGCGGCGATGAGCACGTTAAGTGCTCCGAGATCGTCGGCCAGAGATGAAGTATCAATGACGTGAAAGGATATAGGCGCTGGAGACCTGTTCGACTCACTCGGCACTATGCGGTAATCATCGCTGTCGAGGATCAGAGGATCGAATGAATCCCGGAAGCGATACCAGTTGCCAAAAGTCAGGTCGATGGGATACCCAAGGTCTTCTGCCTTGTGGTGCTGGAGGGTATGCGCAAAAGCGAGCGCATCGCCGATGAAGAAACGGAGGGTGATGCGGCCTTTGCGCCACGCACGGCGAAAGGAGTTGCACCAGTCGGCAAATTCTTGTTTGGCGACCGCCTCGAGGCGTTCCAGTTGGGATAAGCCTTCGTCTGGAGGTGGCTGGCCGACAATGGGGAGGTAGGCAGGTGCGAGATGGAAGCCTTGGAGAGGGTCGCAAGAATGATCGATGCGGATACCAGGGGAGGGGGTGGTGAAGAGGGGGTTGATCACTCGACGTTGAATCGTGTCGGCGCTACTCTTTACCGTCTTTTTCCGTCTCTCCTGAGCCTGCTTCTGGAATTCCTGCGAGGGCACCGTCTCCTTTTCCTTCCCCTTTCCCTTGTCTGCCTTCTTCTGCTTTTTCATGTTGTCCTCCAACTCAGAATCGGTATCCGTGCTTTCGTCTGTATCCTCATCTTCGTCATATCTCTCCTCTGAACCCGTTGCTCCCCACCGCCAGAAATCCTCATTTGCCACTGTCGCATGGAAAGTCGCCTCCAAGCCTACCGGCATCGCAGCTCTGAACGAGCATGCCGCTGCTCTTGTAGCGGCGTAAGGGACTCCCACCTCTTCTTGCTCCCTTTTGAGCACAGCGGTGCCGAGACGCTTGAAAAGGCCATCTGATAGAGCCTCCTGCTGAGCGGAATCGGGACGACAGAACCAGGCGTCCCAGATTTGGGTGAGCATCTTCAACGTGCCCGAGTCCGTGAAGCGGATGCCGCTGGTGGGGTTGCGTGAGTTGTGGGCATCTCCGATGGGGTCTTTGGCGTTCTGTTTTCCCTTTCCTTTCTTCTTTTTGCTCTTTGACATAGAAGGATAGGGTTGAAAGTCTCGACCACGGCCGTAGGGACTTGCGTTCCATGTTGACATTGTTGAGCCGATAAGGCGCAGCCTCATGGCTTGCGAGCGAATGAGCCAGCCGAGGTTCTCGGGAAGGTGCTGGTGGTAGTAAATGGCAAAGAGGTCATCCGACGTGGGCGGCGGGTGAGGTAAGCCGGGTGAGTAAGAAGAGGAGGGGTCGATGTTGAAGTCGGGGTCGATGAGCAGGGTGAGCAGGAGGATGTTGCGCGCTGTGCGACAACAGAACATTACATAGGCAGTTAGCCTTCTTACCTCTAGCTGTTGAAGATGTGAAGGGGTGGAAATGAGAGCAGGAAGGGAACGTACCAATCACCAACCGATCGACATCACAACAAGTGATGTCCAACTGGCGGGTTTTGTCCATGTGCGCTGTGAAGAACACATTTCGTATGTCGCCCGACCCGAGAAGCAGGATGTCTACCGGCTTCCCTTCGCTCTTTTTGTCCGGTGGGATGTTCTCCGTCAGACACACAGCGGGGGTGTCGCCGAACGGGTAGAACGTGCGGGTGACGTTGGGGCAGCTTGGTGTCAGCATCTTGGATGGATGCTGGCGAGATGAGACTCCCTTTTGTTGTCGATGAAAAATTCTGTGAGGGTGGTGTTTGTTTGAGAAGAAGGACAGGAATTTGAAGCGATCTGAAGTCGAGGCTTTTGTACGCGCTATGGTAGAAGTGGGGGGTGGCCTGTCACTGGGAGGAGATCAGGTGAATGGGAGGAAGCCGAGTGAATGGGAGAGCTGATAAGAAGGGGAGTGAAGGGCGCGCACTCCTAAAAGATCGGATGGAAATTACGTATGACCAAGGCCTGGGAAGGCTGAATGATGTTGGCTAGGCAACGAGCTGAGGACACACGAGTGATGCTGTTGTACGGCCGTCTAGAAGCAAGAGACAGTAATGAAGCTCGTATGTGGTTGGCGCAGTTGGTCACTTGGGTGCAGAAGATGCTGGCCGTGACTTGAATGACGTGGGGATATTTAGGCCTGGCGTGCAACATCATGGTGAAAGACATGTATGGTAGGTGTAGTGTATTATGGTGACGGTTTGTGCCTTCTATGCCTCTGGCTCAATGACTCCAGTCGCGCACGCTCTAGGTAGCAAAGGTGAGAGCACCAAGGTCAACAAATAAGCGCTTTAAAGATCTTGTCCGCATTCTTTGTCCAGAGTTCAGTGTAGGCGATGTTGACCTCCTCTTCAGATCTTTTACCTCTCCTGAAAGCAGCATTGTATGTTGTTCCTACCATGATCCATTTTCCCAATGAATCAGGCGGGGCCCGTCGTAGAATGTACTGCTTCGATGACCCCCTTAGCAAACAAAGAACGTCTCCAGGTTCCGGAACATCCACCTTGCTGTCACAGAACTCCAACTTTCCGTTGCCACATATGAAGGGCGCGAATCCATCGAACTGGCTTGCGATGAAATCGGCGAATGCACGGGTGTAGGGAAGATTCCTTCGCATCTTTTTGTTCATGCCTAATCCCCCTGGCTCAGGATCCCGAACCATAGTATCGTATACTTTTCCGTAAAACATGCGATGTCCCGACGGAAAGGCTTGGTAAGACTTCTCGCAGTAATCACCGAGTTTTTTGCGTGGAGAATCATCGATTAGGTCTGCAGCGTGATCATGAATCCAGACCTCGCAGTCAAGGAAATACTGCCTGCAAGTCTAGAGGATCCAAAGATGGATATCACGAACGTCGGACTTGGTCTTGCTCTTTGCCAGTATGTCACATCGCTTTCCTGCGGTATGTACCGTTCCGATGGCCAAGGTATCGATCTCCAGGACCCTGTCATGATGGAGAATCTTGACCGGATTGCTCACAAGATTTTGCCAGATTTCATGCTCTTCGCCTCGGAAGTCTGGTACCCACGACGGGCATCTTCGTCCCACCCGTTGACGGGAGTTCAGTGACAGTATATCGATGCACGCGCCGCTTCTCAGCATCCAAGCGGCATAAGCATGAAATACCTCATCCACGGGCTTGGAATAATCAGGTGCCAGGTCATCTGGGACCTCCCCTGGACCATACAACAGTCCAAGGAGCGAGTAGATCCGGTCTCTTGGGTCCGTAACCTTGAAATTGACGAAACGGGACAGCAGGTAGCCCAGCTGCTGCGACATTGTATAAGACACACCTTCTATCGGAGACTCACGCACGCGGTGCTGAGCTTCCCACGCAGTCCGAATCTGCAAAAATCCATTTGTTTCGTAGTTCCGTCCGGGAACTAGCTGCTTGGGGTTTGATTGCAGATGCACCATATCCCGACATGCCCAGCCAAGGATGGACCACGTCAGGCTCGAGTGCCCGACAAGAAACGTGACTTTCTCGCCATCCTCTTTCCAGTTCCTGACAGCCACCTCTTGTATCACCCACATCCGCTGAAACCATGGCCTCTTAAGTAATGTGTTTATCACCGAATCACTTTTTGGTCCATGAAAAGTTTTCTTGTCCTTGGCGGCATCTGCGATACAACGGTCGAATGTGTACTGCAACGTATATCTGTTAGGCGTTGAGCCATAGTCGCCAAGCCAAATGTGTACTTCAGCGGCAAAGGCGTAGACATCCCTCATTCGAGGAATTTGAGCACTCCGCTCGGCCACATCTCGCTGGTCGATACAGAGGCTGTCAATCCATAGGCGGCGTGGCTTGTCTTTGTTGCGCAGATATCTCAGAGCCAAGTGGAGGTTGGTCGTGACTGGATAGGAGTGACCGTTGAGTTCGATGTCTTTAGTCTGCGTGGGGTCACCCCAGGTGTATGAAATTGCAATGTAGTCGTCTCGCGGACCGTCGAGGACGACGTGGTCAAGAGTGCAAGAGACAGGATCGTACCAGGAAGCTGGGTGAAGTGTGACGACGCGGATTTCGCTGTCCTGGAGAGGCCGATGAGTGGAAGCGCCCGAGGGCTGGAACGACTCCATGGGTGGTGATCTTGGATGCGAAGAACAATTCACGGCGGAAATAGAGGAATTCGTCGATGGTGCTATGGTTTACTTTTGAGAAGTGATGACTCACGGTCGTAAATTGTGAACTTCTGACAGAGAGCTGGAACGGGGCTGCAGTTTCCTTCGTCAGGCAGCTATTTCCATGTGACCTGTTGGGCATCAGCTGAAGCATGACAGGCCGCCGGGCAAGTGTGGCTTAGTACCTCTACCGAGTGGCTCAGGAAGGAGGGACTAAATGACTTTTATCCAATGAAGTTCAAAAGACAAAGAGGCCACTTGTTGGGACCAATGGAGGAACAGTTCCAATGAATGGGGGTCAGATTTAGACTGGAAGTTGAGCGATAAAATACCACTTGTACACAGCAGTTATGCTATACCAACGGCATGCACACCTGTGAACCTTTGATCTTCCTCTTTGAAAACAAGATTCCTCACTAAAAGATTGTTCTGGTCCCAAGAAGCAGCCTCTCCTAACCTAATCCCTTTCTCCATCCATCAATGTTGCCATGATCCCGGTTCGTGATAATGTTTACCAAGAAACACTAGGGAAGAAAGCGGACAGGATGGCGAAGAGAAAGAAAGGAAATATGAAGGACATCACCTGTACATCCAACGGTAGAATCCAGAACTGTTCAGATACGTAAAGAAGCATGACAGACAGGACATATAACCCTCATCATCCAGTCATGCTTCTCAACTTACTATGTTCAGGCAGTCAATTCGCTGCAGACACTCAGAGAGAACTCATAGCATCTTCCTGGCCGGCCACTCTTGAAGCCGATAACTCAACAGCAACTTTTGACCTGTACCATCGAGACCCCCAAGCAACTTCACATATCACGGCACCAACATCGACCATGTTGACGCCAGTGGGCACCGGCGTCCTGCGCTACAGCTACCCCATGGGTGACACGCCAGCCATGTGTTTGACGCAGGACATTCCCCCTTCGTTTCATGGTCGCGCTCGCGCCCGCACTACGAAACGAGGAGATACAAAAGGGAAGGAAAAGGAAGGAGAGAAGGAAAATGACAGGCAAGACGACAATAGTCACAATGATCAGAAAGACCCAATCAGCATCTTGCTTCTTGGGTGTGGAGATCTTCGCAAGATTCTCTTCACGGTCAATCATGATAGTAAGCCTGTCTGAGGTAGCCATCCACTCGGGGCGAGGTTTCAATGGCTAACTGGGAAGTAGAGGGTCGTCAACTGGACATAACCTGTTGTGACAACGAGCGAAGCATCATCGGTACGTCTCATCATCGAAAGAAAACCAACTCTTGGAACACGAAAAGGGATTAGGGCAGAACTGACCTCTATCCGGCACACAGCCCGCAACACCCTCTTTCTAACCCTCCTCATCGACATGAACTCCCAACCCCCCCTCTCCCCCTCCCTACAAGACCTTTTCCCTATCTACTACCACCTCTACCTCCCACCCCGCCTCGCCAGTCTCATCGCCTCTCAAGCTCGCAAGCTGATCGACGTTTCCGACTCCCTCCAAACCTGGCACGCAAGCACATACGGCCGCGAAGGCATCCGCTTCTGTGACTCGTACTCCCTCTCCCGCGCCCGCGAAGTCTGGCAATGCTGGGCTCAATTCGACGGCAACGAGGATCCTGCGGTGACTGATGTCGACTTCAAAGCCAAGTTCGAAGCGGACCTGGCTGCTACCAGAGGTGTGAAAACCGATGAGCGAGTGGATAGCACTGGCTATGGCCTCATCTACACAGCCGTACGATCGGTGGCACCGGCAGGGGATGAAGATATGCGCCATCTGAACGATCTCCATCAACGGTTTTGGAGGGTCGGGAGTCTTTCACCCCAAAACAGCGATGCGGTCAACAAGGAAAGCAGGCAGGTTAACCCGATGTTTGTCACGCCGGATGTCGGACGTGTGAGGATGCACTGGGGACTGGATCCGCTTTTGGGGTTTCCGTTGGCGGAGGCGTATACGAGGACAATGGACGAGCCGGAGAATGTGAGTGCACCGCAAAAGGTTGTGGCGCTTGTGATGGAGAAGTTTGCGGCTTGGTGCCAGAGTTTCAAGGATGCATGGGCGGAGAGGAGTGTGGTAACGAGGTGGTTTGTCGGCGATGCCATTGCCTTTGGGCATACTTTGCAAGGCTGTGCAAATGGCAGGACAGTCAATGTTCACTGGTATCGCAGCCGGCATAGCTTCAGACGTTTGAAGTTTGATGGGGAGGATTACCAGCCCGGAAGCTTTACCCCTGCCCCATTATCCTTCATGGTTATCGATACCTCCAATCTCATTGATGACCTCGGCGCTCTCAATGTGCTGGTCGCCACCTCCCCGCTGCTCGAGAACAACCTAGCCGCCACGATCTACACCGAGATGCTCACCCGGTACCATCGCACTTATAAAGATGAAGCAGACAACCTCCTTTGCGGCCCAATCTCCACTGTCGCCCTCCTCCTCGGTCTGTTCTGCGTAGAATATTCCACCAACACCTCCCCATACCACCCATCCCAGGACGCCATGACCTACCAGATGATGGAATATGGATCTTCTCTGCCAACAGACATGCCTCCAAAGTTATACCAGCCATACGAGCGGCTAAGATGGAAGCGGCCCATAGCGCATTAGGCGTGCGCTTTCGACCCGCCACCACATGCATCTCCAGAATCCATGTCTCTGCCCGTGTACCCCATCAAGTTGGGGGACAAGGACCTCGTCGGTATAGTTCACCAGGTGTACAAGAAAATGTTCTGGGACGAGTGTCCAGATGAGATTATAGCCGCCACGATGGCCAACATGAACCTGGCAGACGACGACCACAACAGCGCCCACGAACGAAGGACAAACCACAAGCTCTACACGCCCGCCAGCTTGGCTGCTTTCCTGAAATTGATCAAGGGCAGAGTGCAAGTGGACGACCGGACCGCGACCATTGAGGCGATCATCACCCTCATTGAGCAAGAACCGAGAAGGGTAGCGCATGGAGACAGTCAGCCGGTCGCTGATTACACCCCGGAGTTGAGGGCCTGGCTGCACCTGTTTGGAGTGTATACACCTCTTGAATGGAGGGTTTCCAACAACAACACACACTTGGTGCCGAAAAGGGAAAGGCTTTGGCAGTTGCAGACGTGGAAGAAAATTCCGCCGGTGAGGTGCGTGACGGTGGTGGTGCCTCAGTACAAGTCAGTTGTGGTGGGTAGGTTGGAGAGGGACAATTTGGCGGTTGGAATGCCGACGTTTGTTGAGTGTGCCATTTCCAAGCCGGGCGACAACAAAAGTTGCCATGGGTTCGCGGCAGTGCAACTCGGTTATGGGTGGCCGCAGCGCGAGGTTACCCGCGTCAGAGGTTCCAAGTCGATCTTCAAGACTATCATGCGTCTCCCGAGCTTGGAAGGGAAATACCACTTGATGGTGTCCTTCATGGTCCCGACGTCGGTGCTTCTTCAAGATCCCAAGACGTCGATGGTCAAGGTCCAGTTCCGACGAACCCCCAACGCCGCCGATTATGGAGATATCCTTGGACCCGGATTGACCATAAACGAAACTCCCCTCCATAACTATGACCAGGTCGTCATCACCCGATACCCGCCTAGGCTGCGGGGCATCCCAACCGTATATGAATTTCCCAGGACATTACCTCCCCCGGATCTGTCGGCTAGTGCCACCATCTCAGCTGGCATGGACGAAATACGATCCGAAATCATCCCCCTCACTGCACGCCTCCAGTTCACATGCCGTGAACTGAACTCTTGTCTCGCAAAAGGTTACACAGCCAACTACCACCTGGTATCACCATGTACATACCTCATCACCCTCAGCGGTAGCTTTACCGTGAGCACCTATGACATCAAGTCCATGTCTGAGTCGCTCTTTATACATAGAGACGGACCAGAAACATGCACATGGGAATCAAGCTTCCCCTTCTCCTTCCCGCTCCTCACAGATATATTCACAGCAGACCTCATCACCGGCCCTGTGAGTCCTGACAACAACTCCATCGAGCTACTGGTCAGAACCATTCGCCCCGCGGATATCCGGGAAATCGGGGCCTCGCCATCGTGGATTTATCCCATCCTCCTTTCCCCCCCTCTCCCCCACTCTGTTTCCCCAGTACCTTATTCCTCAGTCACACCAATTTCATGGTCCCTCCCCTACCTCCCCTGCATCGACGATCTCCCAGTCCTTGACTTCCAAAAACTTCGCTCCTCCGGCTCCTCCTGGCGTCGCTTTAACCTCTGGCTCAAAAATCACACCTACACCCTTTCCCACTGGGAGCACGAACACACAGAGACGCAACCGGAATCCCTACAAGAGGACTTGCTAAGCATTGGCGAGCTGTCCTGGTTGCAATGGAAGAAGATGGTTCGGGGCATGATTTTGGGGTTCACGGCAGCTGTCGGGAGGAGGCAGAATATCTTTGCTGTTTGTCTGGGAGGTGATCAACGGAGGGTTGTGAGCATGGTCTTCTTCGTGTCGTGTCTGAGGCTAGACGTGGCGAATCGGTGCGTGGTACTTGATGGAGCGGTTCTCGTGCGGACGGCGGAGACGGCTGGGTTGGTTGATGGGTTGGAGAAGGCGTTGAACGATTGTGCTGATGCTACAGCGCCGGCGTGGACGGAAGCTGAGCTGGACACATCCCTTAAATATTTCAACACTACACGTGAAGGCATCCACCTCTGGAAGGAGATCCTCCCGGCTTACGTCGAGCGGTGCCAAACTTGGGAGCATGACGCTGAAGGGTGCGAGTATCTTCTCCGCGCCGGTGTAACGGGAGTGATCATCCCGATGGATGATGATACCGAGGAGTCCTCGGTCCTTTGCAGCTGTGGTAATGGACGAGTCCCGGGCCATGATAGCGTCCCGCAAAAGGTGTGGGAGAGGATCAAGAAGCATTTGGTGAGGGTCGCTATCTCCCCTCCGTTCGGATGTCCATTTGTGGAGGAACCGTATGTCCCGGAGATAAAGAAAAATGTGAATAACCCGACTCCGCGGCCGCCACCTCCACCCAAAGCTGTGTGCAGGAACCCAAACTGCAAAAGAAAGGACGGAAGAGAGTTGGATCATACTTGTCCCGTTTGTGAGAACACCAAGTACCTCTACTGTTCCAGGCCGTGCCGTAAGGCTGATACAGCGAGGCACAAGAAGGAGGAGTGTCAGGGTGGAAAGGGCAAGAAGAAGTGAAGGGAAAGCAGGATTTAGAGAAACGCAACATGTAGTAGAGGTAGTAAGCTTGTAAGATAGAAGTCCAGCTCAAACTATCGGGAACGTGCTCCCCAACCTTATTTTCCTTTCTTGTTCTCCCATTCTTCCTTGACAAACTCAGCGCATCGTTCCGCCATCATGACCACCGGTGCCATCGTATGCGCACTCGGGATCTTGGGAAACACGCTAGCATCTGCGATTCTCAAGTTCTCAACGCCATGGACCTTCAGCTTCTGGTTTACCACCCCTTCTCTAGGGTTGTTTGACATCCGGCAGGTGCAGGAGACGTGGAGGCTGGACACACAAACGCGGGAGGCGTAGGCATCTATTTCCTTGTCTGTGACTGTGCGCCAATTTGCTTTTGGAAACTGTTGCTTTTTGGATTCGCGCTTTGTGGACGTGGAAGCAGATAGTTGTCTGGCTCCTGGCAAAAGATCCTTACCAGGCACAGGAACGGGCTCCTCATCCGCCGGCTTCTTCGTCGTCCAGAACCTTTGCAACAATCCCGTCTTGGTTTTGTAGAGGGCGTCCAAATACACCAAATCCATCCCTGGCGCAATCGTCAGTGGTGCCTCATGCGGATATCCCGTGTTCGTAAACTCCTCCGCCAATCGCATAGTGAACCGCACCGCCTTCCTCATTGTTGCTCGGTCTCTGTTATCAGTCATCATCGGGTGACAGATCTTTGGATCAGCCAGAGGGTCATCAGACACAAGCTTGATATGCCCCCTCAAAAACGGTTGGGTGAGCGTTGTATACCACGTGAAGAGCGACTTGCCCGAGACGCTTACGGTCAGGCAGTTGACGGGGTTGATCATGATCTCGACATCCGGGACATTCCGAGGCAGAGAAGCCTCCATGGTGTCTTGGTCTGAATCGTCATTGTGTCGAACGGTCATTGTATTCTCCTCCAGAGCTGCGGTGCGTACGAAGATGCTTCGGGGAGTGGTTCCATTGGCGAGTAGGCCTCTGCCGAAGAAGAGGTAGAGGAGAAGGTGCCAGAGGAAGGCGAAGGCGTTTTCGAGGCAGTGGAGGGTATGTTTGCGTGGGAGCTTCATGATGATGGGGACGGAGGTATGGTCCGAGAGACCCTGTCCTACTGCTGGGAGGTTGTGGAGGACTGGGATCTTAAGGGATTCGAGATGCTGGCGAGGTCCGATGCCACTCAGCATCAGGAGCTGAGGCGTGCAAATAGTCCCGCTGCAGACAATGACCTCCCTCCGGGTCTTGACCGTGTACTCGCGGTCACCTTCTCGAACCCTCACACCCGTCACCTGTGTCCGATTCTTGCTGAAGAGGAGCCTCGAAGCTACCACTCCGGTACAGATCTTCAGCCCCTTCCTCTCCCTCACCGTCTCCCTCGGCAACCAAGCCTTGTACGCCGACACTCTCTGACCCTTCCCGTCAATAGTCTGATCCATCACAAAGCATCCCTGTACGTTTGCACCTGGGTCATTCACCCCCTCCCCCACAGGTAACCCAACTCTCCTCGTCGCTTCCTCCACGAAGGGTATACACCCAAGTGTGAGCCCCGGCTTCCTAGGCCTGACAACATCCTCGCTTTTCCTAAACCACGGCTCGATCCTCTCCCAGCTCCAGTCCTCTAGTCCATAGTCTTCAGCCCACTGGTTGTACCCCCCTGCCCCACCTCTTGTCCATAGCAAAGCATTGAGACGCGTCGCCCCGCCCAGGGCTTCAGCAGTCCAGAGCGCCGCTCGTCTGCCATTGGCAGCGGGGATCGGGTCGGACTCGCGACGGACGGACTGGAGGAAGGGAAATTCGAAGTTCTGCGAGAGAAGGGGTATGCCAGAGAGGAAATTGTCGTGTACACGGCCCTTTTCGAGGAGGAGGACGGAGACGTTGGGAGATTCGGACAGGCGCGAGGCCAGGACGCAGCCTGCTGTGCCGCCTGTTGGAGAGGGACGAGTTAGCTGGGGTTGACCTCTGGATAGGTAACGAAGGAATGGAAAGGGGACTGACCGCCGACAATGATGTAGTCAAAGGTTTGATCGTGAATATCGGCCGCGTGGACTGTGGGGTAGGACGGCGCGAATGGCCACATCGTTGTCGTGGTGGTTGAAGGCAAGGGAACGAACCGAGCGTCGGGTCAAAGACTGGAAGTTGGAGACGGGACACCGGTTGTCCGCTACGGCGCTGTATTACAGGCGATGTTACGCTGTAACCATGACGTGCATCCCGCAGCCTCCCGTACCATCCCATCGAGGCTGATGCTTCCCCCTCCCCCTCCCCCACATCACGAACATCAACACCACAACCTTACATAGAAACACGCAAAGTTAAAGTATCAAAACAAGAGGTATCATTACTGTACTTATCTATCCCTGTCGCTTTTCCGAACCCATCCATTTATCCCAACTCCATTGCTTTTTCTCATCAACGTCCATCTAAAACTTCCACCCCTTAGGACCGCCCCAAGTGCCCTTGACCATGGCATTGAAGTACACCCAAGGGAAGAAGTCCTTCTTCAGGTGGTAGAAGGCCCGTCTGGGGGTTCCCTGATCCAAGGCACCACCAACAATGGGCAGTCCACCAAACGTCTCCTTGGGCACACCCGCATACTTGAACTCGGCCAACATGACCTTGCCATACTCGGTCACCAGCGGGCACGAAGTGTATCCATCATACTCCAGCGCCGGCTCCTTGCCCTCCAGGCTCCTCAGCAGGTTGCCGACAAGAACGGGGGCCTCCGCAGTGATAGCCGCCGCAGTCTTGGAAGTAGGCAAGCTCGAAGCGTCACCGGCCGACCACACATTCTTGAACTTGTTTGACTGGGTAGTAGCCTGGTTCACATCGACGAAACCAGCCGCGTCAGCCACCGCGCTGTTCTTGACAAAGGCGTAGGGGCCCATCTTGGGGACGACGTGCAAGAGGTCAAACTCGCGCGTAACCTTCTCCTCGCCCTTGGCGAAAATAGCCTTGTTGCCGTTGACCTCCACAAGATCGTGCGCAAAAAGACCCTCCACGCCGCGCTCCTTGCGCAGCTCCTCCAGGCGAGCAGAGTACTTTGGCACGCCAAACATCGCCGGCAAAGCGGTCGCGAAGGCGATCTGGATCGCGCCTGACGAGGGGTTGGAAGGGTTGTAAAGTCCCGCGCGCTTCCAGTGGTCCAGAGCCAGCCACATGGCCTTTTGCGGGGCACCAGCGCACTTGATGACACCAGCGGGTTGCGTGAAGATGGCCTGGCCGCGCTTGAGCTTCTCGATGGTGGGGAAAACCTTGCTCACGGTATGAGCGCCATAAATAGTCGACACGGGGGCGCTGGGGTCAGCGAGCGCTTCGGGCAGACCCTTGATCTTGTCGTAGGTGATCTCGATACCGGGAACAACGACCAAGTGCTCGTAACCGATCTTGTCGCCATTGGCGAGAGTGACGGAGTCCGTCTCGGGGGAGAGCTGAGAAACAGCCTGGTTGTAGAACTTGAGCTTGGGGTCGATGAGGGAAGCCTCGTCGCGGCGCAGAGAAAGGGGGTCCTTGAGCCCGCCGCCGACGAGCGTCCAGCCGGGCTGGTAGTGGTGGTACTGAGCCGGATCGATGACGGCAATCTCCTCGGGCGAGAACTTGCCGGTGCGCAGGAGCTGGTGAGAGATGGATAGGCCGGCCGCACCACCGCCTACTACGACGATGCGGTGCGAGCGGGAGGTGCCAGTGACGGGGGCAACGGAAGCGAAGCCCCGACGGGAAAGAGGGACGGCGAGGGCGGCACGGGGGGCAGCGCGGGTGGCTGCCGTGAGGGCCGTCTTGGTAACGAGTGAGCTGCTCATCTTGAATCTGTATCCGCTATCGGAGACTGAGCTGATGTGGTGGAGTGAATGTGAATTGGTGTTTTGAGTTAAAAAGAATGTCGTGATACGACAGTCAGCGAGTAAGTGAGTGAACTCAAAGAAAAAAGACTGTTAAAGTGCCGCCGGATTTGTAACAAATCTCAAACTAGTGTAAGCGCGATCACCTCATCGTCGACCTCTCATGTTGCGTTGCTGAGTCAACCTCCCGGCCCACACCCGATAGCCGCCGAGTGGGGCTCCTTTGACGGATTCCGGGGGCCGGTTATCGGCGGGTGCAAAATTTGCCATAGAGCCCCGGTCGACGGCGATTAGGTGTGGGAGCACGGACCACCCATCTTCCAAAAACATCATGCCACTCACTCGATAGCGCCCGCTTGGGTCATTCCAAGTCACATGTGTCCCTTGACCCCGAACAGTTCGGCGACCACCTCATCGGTGATGGATTGCTATGTAATACTCGGTGGCGTTCATCCCCGGGATATAGACGCCGCCCGGCCTCCGGGACTCGGCCAGGAAGTGTGATGTGATATATATCTGTGAGATCCGTGATGATTGAGCTGATGTTACCTAGCGCATGCAATTAGGTATTTTTGATCCAACACTCCCATATCTCAACCGTCACATATTGAATATCACCATGACATCTCTACAACCTTACCTCGCAGAAGTCTGTGAGACAACCTCCAGTCTCTTGACCAGCAGCACCTGCGCTCCATGTCTTTATCACATCCGACATCTCACAACATCGTTTCCAAGGAGTGCATCACGAATCGCCACCACTAGATCTCTCAGCTCCACATCTTCAGCATCAACCTCTCAAAGGAGGACAATCTATCGATCCCATCGACCTCATCTACAACAATCACATATTGTTCCCACAAACTCCATCCAACCCTTTCCACTACGCCGAACATACACCACCACCACGTCACCACCAGAACCAACAATAACCCCCCTCTTCGAACCCATCACCTCCACCTTCCAATACCTCGTCGCCGACCCCCTCACCCTAACAGCCGCCATCATCGACCCCGTCCTCGACTACTCCCCCCTCGACAACTCCATCTCCACCACCTCCGCCGACGCCCTTCTCTCCCTCATCGCCTCCAAGGGCTACAGAATCGCTTGGATCCTCGAAACCCACGCCCACGCCGACCACTTATCTGCCTCTTCCTACCTGCAGAAACAATTAACAGAATCCCAAGGAGAAGCACACAAACCCCCCATCGGCATCGGCAAACGCATAGGTACCGTCCAAACTTTATTCAGCAAGCGGTACGGAGTCCCAGACGAAGAAGTCAAAGAAGTATTCGGCCACTTATTTGACGACGACCAAGTCTTTCGAATCGGCAACCTTGAAGCGAAAGCCATTCATCTTCCCGGCCACACCCCCGATCACTTGGGGTATCAAATCGGTAACAACGTCTTCTGCGGCGACAGTCTGTTCAATGCGGACATAGGAACCGCGAGGTGTGATTTCCCTGGCGGGAGTGCGCAGGATCTGTACCGCTCCGGCCGAAAGTTGTTGCAGAGTTTACCGGATGAAACCAAGATTTGGACTGGGCATGATTATCCTCCCGAGAACAGGAAGGAGCCGGTGCCGTGTTTGACGGTTAGAGAGCATAGGGAGAGGAACAAGCATTTAAGGGATGGGATCACGGAGGAGGAGTTTGTCAAGGCCAGAGAGGAGAGGGATCGGGACTTGGCGGCGCCGAGGCTGTTGCATCAGAGTTTGCAGGTGAATATTCGGGCGGGCAAGTTGCCGGGGGAGAATGAGAGTGGCTTGAGGTTGTTGCATCTGCCGGTCAAAATCAAGACGGATAAGAATTGGTGATCTGGACGGTTTAGCAGGAAAAGGTAGTCGAGAAAGGAGGAAGGTAAAGAGGAGGAGATCACGATTTAATAATAGATTATCAACCGTAAGAGTCTGCGTACGGCGGTTGAGACGGCTCATCATGTATCCAAGGTGTTTACGACCCGAATGCATCCCTCAAACACTATATCAATCGAAACACCCCACCCTGATTCTCACATGTCGAAGCGCATTTGGATATATATTTGTAACGTTCTGGGAACTCTGCAAGGCCTTGCTCGAACTCGCAGTATCGGACTGTGAGTTTCCAGTCTGCTTTTATGACAGGGTAAGACGGTGAAATCACGACGAGATGAGCTGAGGTTTGTGATCAGATGATGATGATACAGATTAGGTAGAGGTACCTAGTACCCCAATAGCAGTGACCAGCGCCCTCACATTCAAGTAGAACCACTTGTAGATACTCCATCATGATGGCCTTCCTGACAAGCACGTTGTCCTGATCTTGGGACTTCCGATGATCGATGTGACAGCAGGTGGCATGAAAATCTGACTGACTAGTTCAGTCCATGCCGATGCCTACCGAGTGCTCCAGTCAAGACCTCGGACGACTGTCCGCTGCGCTAGGACGACCATGAGGCGTCCGAACCCAGACTGTCGTGTTCCAATGAAGTGCGTATACGAATTACCGCACTACCTGTAAACAAAGAGAGGAGACCCAAAAAAGGGAATAAATCAAGAAAACAGCTAGTCAGTCGGTAAAAGTTAGCAAGAAAAAGATGACAGCGACAGGGCAACAGAACCATGGGAGAACGTACAGGCCAATTCAAGTGTTGACCATACCACCAGATACCAATACACAAATCCTCATCACTCTATGTAATCATCTCTCCTCCTCCACCTCCCACCCAAGGTCCCAACTCTCGGGCCCCCACGGATCAGCCTCCAACGCATATGATACCACCTCCAGCTCATGCTGCTCAATCCACTTCAACTGATCCTGCAGCCTCCGATACGTCTTTTCGTAGAGATGATAATCATCGTACCAAACACGGAACCACGAGTCCATCGTAGAGGCCATGATCTCTTCGTTGGAGCGAATGTCCGAGATAGCTGGGCGCACGGGTCGTAAGCCTTGGTACATGCGCTCGACAAAACTCGTGAAGCAGGTGAAACGTCGCGAGAGCTCATCGAGCTGGTGTGTAGTGAGGAAGGGTTCAGCCAAGAGGTCCTCTCCTTGAATGGGAAAGTCGGAGACAATGGACTTGCCGTACTCGACCCAGTAGTTGGCAAAGTCTCCAAAGGGAAGACGGAAGTCGTCGCAGAGCTTGTCCCACCCGAAGAGAACTTGATATCGAGCCCTTTCGAGCGCATCAACCATTAGCGACCTTGCAAAGGCTACCAGATGCCGTCTGAACGCTGCCATGCCGTGTTCCCTCAAAAAGCACCGATTACACCTGGGCTCCCTCAGCTCTCCCAATTCAGCATCTTGCACACAATATTTGCTCATCGCATCCGTCAAAAAATGCACCTCTTCGTACGCAATAACAGGCAAACGAAACTGTGACGCCTCTCGCCATTTGGCGCAACCGCCGCAGCGAAGGATGCGCATTGTCAAATGGTACGTCTTGTTATCATGGGCACCGTAATATAAGAAGCGGCGGCCCATTCTGGCGCGAGGGACAGGGTGAAACAGATTGGGGAAACACCTGTCAAAAAAGTTGTAGAAATCCAACTTGCGCCCAGTGACCACTGGTGAAGGGAGGATGGGCCGCCCTCCGTTGTTCATCGAGTTTTTGTTACGATGCCAGTCGCCCCGGACAAAGATACATTCAATGCAACGACGGTTGTGTCGACGGAGGCCACAAATTAGGAGCTCATGGTTAGAGGCAATCTGGTCGTTAGTAGTAAGAATGTCGGCCTCCACGTTTCCGGCCCAGAGGAACTGGTTGATTCCCCCAGCCTGCCGCATGCTTTCCCATGGGTGGGTGGCCTCATGATACCGCATCCGGACATCGGCAAGTGACTCATCTCGAGCCCGGATATGGATTCGGTGCTGGAAGATCCTGGCTCTCACGCCGTCATCCCATCTGTCGAGATACCACCATTCGGCCAGGCGATTGGCCTCTCTGCTACCGGGAGGGGGCTTGCGAAGGTCGAGCCGCAGGATGTTGTGGTTATCGAACCTCGTATGCGGCAGGAGCTTGAGGCAGCCTCCACAAGCGTACTTGTTGGACTCCCAGTCCTTGGAGCCCATGCGAGGAGAGATGTGGGAATCCCTGCCTCTGAGGAGCGGCGCTATGCCGCCATACTCGGGAATCAGCTCAAGGGCGAGCAGGCGCTGGAGGAAGTTGATGCGTGTCGGCCTGATGGTGGCTCGCAGAGTCTGGCAGGTTTGGGCCAAGTTGATCAATGAGATGGGATCAACGTTATCCAAGATGATGAGGAGAATTTCCAACGGAGCGTTATGCAATGAGATGACAGACATCTTTGGGTGAGGGCTCGAGGTGGACTGGAAATGAGGAGGTAGGGTGAGGTGTGGCGAGATGGTTAACAAGTTGTGGTTATAATAATATATTCCCACCCAGTCTGGTCAGCTTGTTGTCGCATTGGTTGATGCGTGTCAAACACGAAATCTAGGTTCCGTTCAATCAAGTTGAAGTGAGGAGAAAGTGTGATGAAGGGAGAGGTTGACGCATCAAGTGAGATGGCTAAAGCCGGCGGCAGGCGATGTCAAATCGAGTCATACGGTAAGTCTCGTCAACGAAGGGCCAAGTAATCACGATGTAACGTAGAGGTGAGGTCGAGAAGGAAGACCGGGGTGAAAGGGCGGAAGAAGAGGAGAAGGGGAGAAATGATTAATTCTCAACTTGCAGAACCACAGTGTGAAGCGACCTTGAAGAAGTCTGGGAATACGTGATCAGGTTCAAGGCATCGTCAAGTTGCATGGCTGCAGGCGACAGATGAGGTTGTATCAAACAAAGAAAAGGAGGCTGATGAAAGACGGCGAGATTGACGTGGAGACCTTAGTTATCGCTATGAAGAAGGGATATTTTGTGATTCGGTGAAAATGACGGAGATGTGGGTTGAATCACATGAACTAAGAGGAAGAAGCTGGAAGAACGGTGACCGTACGAAATGCGATTATCAAATGGAGGAAGGAACATCGTCCGAGGTTTTTGATGTGAAGTTGAAGGAAGTGGTACGACGTTGAAGTGGAAGGTACGGTGACACCCGGAATAGTGGGGCATGCCCCATTCGAGATACGTACCGTCTTATCTTATCTCGAGCAGCTACTCGTATCAGCTCACGTGATTACCTCAATCGTCACCACCCTCTCTTGGGAGGACTTCACTCGGCCCTTGACAGCCACAATCACGAATTTAGCAGAGTATGTCACGAGGAGTTTTGTTCATTTTAGCTTGAAGAGTATTTCTGATATTCAAAACCATGAGTAACTATCCATTATCTTAAATTCCTTCGATAAACACTGCATCCCCCTCCCTTTGTTAGCTTGCATTATCATGAAATGTAGTACTTCCAGCGAGATAAAGTATCTTGGCGGATGGCTCGAAAACCAAAGTTCATCCCAAGGTTGTGAGATGATGCTGGGATATTCAATGCTTACCACAAACCAGACAAACCACAGCCCTCTCCAACTCTTTATCCGCCTTTTGCTGGACCGTGATGGTTCTCACTCCATTGGGGCACTTGTTGGCATAGTCATCTTCGAATTCGATACCCAGCTCTTGAGCCGTGGGGCAACGAATCTTTTCATCAGGGATCGGCTTGGTAGAGCCACAAGTGCGGCAGATGGCGGGAGTGAAGGGGATTTGGAAACACATGTTTGCTGTGGGTGGTGTGTGGTGATACTCGGTGTCTGAGCACTGAGTATCTGTTATTCGCAAGTGAAGGTAGATGAATGTCTTGATCCGTATCTGGTTGTGACTGTGAGTGTGATCTGATGGCGAGAGATGGAAGACTTCATGTTTGGCTCGGTGTGTCTTTTGCTTTTATATCTTTTTGAAGGTGAAGATTGCGTGTGATCATTCACCTGAGTTAGGTTCTGTTTCGACATAATTGCATTACATTCCTGATGATGTTCCATGGACGAAGCTGTCATGTCGATACAATGGCCTTGTTTCGATGAAGAGTGTTGCTGGGCGAAACAATTCGGACAAAGAAAACAAAGAAGATGAGGTCTTAGAGCAGACGAACAACAACGGTAAATTTACTTTGCTTCGGTGTGTCAATCGGTCCAAGACAGACGAGAAGGATAGAGAATGTGATGGCGAAACAACGAATTTCTGACCTGAACAAACATGAACGAGTACCTGCTTCCACGACAGATCACTTCTAGTCCTCAAACCGCTATGCCATCTCCACATCGAGCCATTGAAAACTGGAGAATGGCCAGGCCAGTGATTACTGATATGCCTGCGTTCTGGGACTGCAAATATGTTAAGACAGGGAGCATGAGGGTCACAGAGAAATTCTTCACCAGTGGGAATTGTATTCGATCAATCTGTATCTGAAGAAAGGATGGGTGCATCAGTGATGATGAGGAACGATGCTTCAAAGCAAGAACACCCAGCCCTTCATGAAATACGTTGCGGTGCTGGGTACTCTCTATAGCAAGCGAACTAACGTGTTCGCTTTGCTGACTGTCCATTACATCCACATCTGCGCCTGATATGGCATCTTGTGAGTTGTTGCGATGTTTGCCCACGCGGCTCTCGTCACTTTGTATTGCTCGCGCGCGTCTTGTTTAGTGTCGGCAACATTGCGATTGGGTGCTCTTCATGTCACATTTGTGTCCTTTCTTCTTTTCACGGCGGAACAATGTGCCGATTTGTAACCACGACTATTATTTTGCTGAGAGAAGAGTCATCTAGATGGACGAGCGGAAGGCTACTTGAAGGCCGGCTTGAAGCATGAAGGGAACGACGCGGAGTAATCGTTTCAATAAGGGTATTTATCATAAGAACAGAGGACAAATTCGAGACGAGTGTCGCTGGAAAGATGCCGTTGCTCTGACGAGAGCGGTGACTGGTGCAACCGAGGAGGGCCGGGAAGAAGAGAGACGGGAGCCGGCGGCACAACATAACGAACGGGCAGATTTGCTCAGCACCGAAAAGCTTTCGTTGACAAAGGCAACGCCGCGCTTGCTGATACTTAAAATTGCTCAGCGAACTAGCAGGCATTCGCAAGGGCAGGAGCGACATGAACATCATGTCGAATTAAAGTTCACAGTCCTTCGGGCCATCACTTGTAGGATGTGATGTACGACAAGGCTTGAAGTCGGAATCTGTGGATGTGGTGGCTGATCAGCATTGATATACCTATGGCGTGTGCCCAGGATTACTTCGGCCCAAAGCGGTTGATCACCAGTTGTCGTGTAACGTGAGATTAAAGAGGACCCCCAAGCAAACAACTTAGGCGAAGATTAGTGTAGTGTACACTATTGTTGCCGAAGAGGTCCAGATGTCCAATGGTTTGAGGATTGATTACGTACATATTGGTGTTTGTAAATCGCGCGGGAATCTCCTCGAAAAGGAGAAGCTATCCAGTACCTATGCCCCTGGTTCGGAATATTTTGGCAACGAAAAGACGTCCGATTGGCAAAAAATGACCCTGATGTGCGAGTAGAGGTAAGACATGTCGTTGCCCGAAACGTCGCCGAACGCACCCCACTCAGTGAGCTATCAATCGTGATGCTCATCGCTGTGCCAACTAACAGAAACCCACGGTTATGTCAGGGAGGCCTGCTAAGGGCTGTTACAAGTAGAACATTTACTGTTAGGGCTTGCCACTTGCGGATAATGGTGGGGTGAGAGCTGCATAAAGGGACCTGTAGCGGGGATGCTTAGGAGCCACAAGGGGTCTTTTCAGCGCCCTAAGAGGCTGAAGCGGTGGGGCATCACGGCGTTCTGGACTGTTTGGGTCAAGGAACGATGACATCATAGCATCTGACGCAAGCCCAGGCCTGGCCTGGCCTTGTCTGGACCGTGACCAACCACAAGCGGCGTAACGTCATGGCCAGGGCAGAAAATCCGATGTCTTGCTTTCTTCTTTCGTCACTCACTGCCACATCCCGGCATCCGTCGTTCAGTCCAGTCCAGTCTTATTTATCGTTGCTTTGGATACTACCTAGACGGCTACCTAGGTATGCATCAAGGGCAACATTATTGAAGGTTCTCGGCATAGAGGTACCTATCTACCTAGCGTACCCATATACCTACCTACCTACCTACATAACTCTGTCTTCTTGTTCTGGACCCCAATTGCAGCAGGGAGACAGGATGCGATCATGCTGATGCCCTCTTGTCCTTCTCCTGTTCCTACTACTTTACTCAACTACAACTCGATTGATTGATCTCTTTCTTCCTCTTTTCTTTCATTTGGTTCCGGTTTTCATCTATCCCGCCACGCCGATCAGCAACTACCCAACCTGCCTGTACATACCTACCTATCTACCCATCTACACCTAGTCTCTAACACCAAACGCACTCGCACCATATCTATTCGACGGACCCACACCGAGAGCCTCCGATGGCCGACAAAGCATCGACGTACGAGCTCGAAAGGAAGGAGGACATGTCCAGTGCCTGCCCATCCTCAGGGCAACTGGACGGGGAAACACTCGAAACAACAACGCAACACCGTCACGGCCACCATCATGGCCATACGAACGGCCTTGCTCCCCCGGGGCACACGCAACCCCATTCCTCCGCCTCCTCCGCGACAGCTGTCAACATGCCCGCTGGCGTCGACAACATTCCTCTCGACACCGTCCCGACCGTCGAGGACACCCCCGGCCTCCCGCGGCTAAAGTACAACATGATGGACTACAAATGGAAGCTCATCATCGTCTCCTCCCTGCTTGTCATCGAGTCGTCATTGTTACCCATCGCCCTCTTTTACGGCCTCTGGTACGGCACCGACCTTCGCCACGGAATCGTCTTCGCCATCATTACCGCCTTCTTCGGCCTAGTTACTGGCATCGAATTCGGGCTCCGTTCCCTCAAACTCATCCTCCCGCGCGACGAATATCGCCCATTGGGTACCGATCCCGTCAAAGACCGGTGGAAATTTGACTTCACCCATATGACGCTTTCGTTCGGGTACACGTACATGACGGGCATCCTGATTGGCGCGTCGATCCCGCACGAGCCGATAGTCAAACCGTTGGCGATGCCGGTGCCGCTTTTCTTCATACAGATGGGACTTCAATTGTTGTGGACGGGGTGGGCGAACAAGAAACACAAAAAGGCGCCATGCAGGATTAGTTCGGTCCCCAAGGGAGGGAGGGTACCGCCATTGGTGTTGACGATTGTGGAGGATATTGTGGCGGTGGATGGTGCTGGAGGCAAGGAGTATAGGAGGGCCATCAATGCCAGGTACGAAGTCAGCAAGAGGTTCAGAGAGATGATTGCGAGGCAAAATTGGTTTTGGGGAGTGGGAGCGCTGGTGGATGGGGCGGCTACGATGATTGTGATTTGGACGATACCGCAAGAGATTGCGTATGGTGTTGGTATGTTGTTTAGTCCCCGTTCCCGGTTGAGATGTCGACTATGTATGAGATGCTAACGTTTGGTGCCAACAGCTTGGGCGAGCCCCCTTATCTTCTCGGCGATATGGACCGTCATCACCGTCATTTGGGTCAGACGAGATCTACGACGAGAAAAGGCAGAATGGCGAGCAAACGCTGAGCCGTCATTGTCCACTGAAGACACAACCACACAGGAGATGCAACAAAGAAGTGTTGTCTAAAGTCAAGGTTGGAAAAAAAAAGAAGTTTGAAGAGTTTTGTTTCTTTGTAGGTCAGCGTACACGGGTTTGGATGGTCCAGTCTCTTTCGCGTTTCGTTTTCTTTCATCAGGCAATATACCCACGCAATTTTTGACGAGTTAAATCGGTTGTTTCTTTTGCATGATCTGCTTTTGGTAACTGTCGTCTGCATCTAACCGCCGAGCCCTTGATGCCCAAAGCCAGCTTGAGGTCACCCTGCACGAGGCCGACCGTCTTGCCGGCCCCCATGACCCACCTGTCATTTGCAATCCGGCGTCCATAAATTTCCTCATCCCAATCGGTTACTCTTGATGTCTCTGAGGTCAAGCAATTCCCTTTCCATCTCTCACCCGCACAATCTTCATCCCTCCTTCAACCGGCGAATGATTTCGCAAGCCCTCAATAAACAAAGCGGCACTTCCAGTATCACGGCGTCAACGTAGCCTCGACTTCCTCGAAGATGCCTGACACGTCGCCTCACAAGTTCGGTCTTGGGGAGAGGTTGATGGACATCCCGCCTGTCTTCTACCTTCTCTTCAAAATTATCGAAGGAATTCTTTTTCCTCCCCAACCGTTCACCCCCCGCCTGGCAAGCAACTCCGACCGCCTTAGACCTGCATCTATCGATACTTGCAGTCCCACTGAACCTCAAGAAATATCCATCTACAACGACCACCGACGTACCATCGACGGCTGGCATGCCGTAATAGGGTGCATTCTTATCATCTTACTCTGCTATGCCCTCCGCTTCTCCGAAGACAAATGGAACATGAGCTCCCGGAAAGGGCGTTGGTCATACCGTCTCGACTGGATGAAAGAAGTCAACTACCCGCCTGAGACTCGCACTTTAGCCCCGATCATGGTTCCTTCACACCAAGAATACCGCCTCACCCAACGGCGCGAGGCGATAAGAGTACTCTTCATGGTTATGGTCACAACATGTGTGTGCCCGATCACGGAATATCTTTTGTGCACTAGGGCAGGTATTTCGGAACGATTGCATAACATTGTGCAAGGAAACGCAGCTGGAGAAGCATACGCTATGTTGGTGAATGGGCTTTTCCTGGTTTATCTGATCTTCAGATATGGTATTCTTCCTTGGTTCGTGACTGCGGTGGCTAGTGAGAGTATAGTCTTGACAATGCTCCCTCTGTACGGCGACGCGGAAAATGGAATGAGTGTCTGGGACAGATGGATTGAGAGGTGGATAAATGCACACCAGTTGGAGAATGCAGTGGAAGAGGCCCGGTACATGGCCGCGATGAAAGATCTCGACCCAGGACCGCAGAACATGCCAACAGACTTCGGTCTCTTGGACTCCCATGTGCCTGAGTTGACGGTTGACGTATCCTGGCGTGACAAGTATAAAGGGTTTTCCTCAACCGAGTACTTTGCGGGCTTGAATGGAGAGAGAAGTGGCCCGTCGATTGTCACAGGTAGAGGTAGGTGGGAAGTGACTATGGTAACTTTGTATGCATAATAGATGTAGGATTCTAGCCAATCACAGCACGTATTTTATGCGAAGCCCATGCACTGTGCATGCTCTGATCACGAACAACAACCTCGTTGCTCTCGACAACCAGCAAGTCAACGTGTATGATTACGATTCCAGGACAACGCGGCATCACTTCTGCCATTCTTATCTGACTCGATCTTTTCAACATCCTAGCCTGTCCTACCTGCCGTCTCGAACGGAGGTACCGGCCATTCTTCGCTTGTGCTTCAAACGACCCATGGATGTCGATAAAACAACACTGATCATCACCAGGGTGACCATCCGAGTATCGGCTAGCCACTCAAAATGTTTATGACGCGTGATCTTGGTCACCCAGAGCAGCCGGTATGGGGGTGAGGCTCGCAACTGACAACGAAATTTGTAACCATTCTCGATTCTAGTCTGGTCCCGAAACAATCAAGACCCCATCGCAATTGCCCTCGTTAAACAGGATATGGAAAAATCGACACTCGAGCACAACGAGCCGCGTCCGCGACAGGATAACCATGGAATCCATCTCCCGAAAACATTCACGAATCGGATCAAGCAATTGGCCTCGTCTGCATCTAAGCGCCAAGCCCTTGATGCCCAAGGCCAACTCAGGTCTCCTGCACGAGGCCGACCGTGTTGACGGCCGCCATGCCCCACCCGTCGTTTGCAGCTCGGTATGGCAGTCTACCGATTGAAGTTTTTGCATTTAAGCCAGGCTAGGCGGGACTTTCGAATTCCTGACACAAATTAGGCCGGTTCCCGATCAATGTTTTCCTCCATTTCACATGCTTTCTTTCCTCTGCTTTTTTTCTGCTGCTGGAGAGTACCTGACACCCGCATGGTTCGCTTTCTGAAGATTTCCATCGACTCGCAACCTAATCTTCTCACCTATCCAGCCACTTCCAACACTTTGACAGCACGCTAAAATGGCCTATCCACTATGTCTTGGACCCAGTACTCCTTACAACTTCGGCCTCGGTTCCGACTTCCAGATTGCCCTTATCCAACCTTTTCTCTACTTCTTCTTGGCAGTCCTTCTTGACATCGCTCCACGGGAAGTGACTCCGAAACCCCAAAGTCTAACAGGGACGGCCTCTCTCGACACTGGCAGTCTCACTCAGCCCGACGAACTGCTCGCCTCTCTCGCCCAAAGTCGTAACGAAACCCGGGTGAAGGCAGCTTGCATATCCCTACTCTTCACCGTCCTACTATGTTTTTTTTCCCACCAACTAGACTTCATGTGGCATGACCCCCATGCCTTCCATTCTCGCCACGGCCCGGTCCCCTCCTTTACCAAAAACGGGTTGTTTGATTCGGATCCGATCCCGGCGCCTGATGATTACGCCGTGACCAAAAGCCGAGAGGCAACGCGGTTACTCTTTGTGGTGGTCATCTCAGGGGTGCTCTGCCCCATTGCAGACTGTTTGTGTAGGCACGGAGATGGAGGACTTGTGTGTCCAGACGATTGGGAGTCACGTTTACTCCGGTCAGACTTTGGAAGATTCATAGCTGACGAGGTATACGACTCATTTGTGCTATCTCAGTCTGGGTATGACGGGATGATGCATGTGATGAAAGCCATCATGTTTCTTGTGCGTATAGTGTTTCCGTGCATGGCTACGGCGGCGACCACTATAGCGTTAGCGTTTGCGACTTTTGGGAGGAGGCATGGCGTGGTGGACATATGGGATAGGAGGATTGAGAGGTGGGTGGTTGCTTTCGCACTGGAGAGGTCTTACGCGAGGCTGGATGAGTGGAGGATTTTGTGGCAGAGGGGGGACCAGGGGAGGAGCATGCAGGCTGTTCTGAACGAGGTGGACATGGGCGAGAGGAATAAGGAGACGATTGTTTGGCGGAGGGGGATGAAGGAGGGCAGGGGGTATGGACCTGATTATTGGTTGCCGAGGGAGAAAGAACCGCAAAGGCCATTCCAGTTCTCAAGCGCCGTGGACGAGGACGCATATCGCTATGTAGGCTGATGATATGGCCCGAAAGCAGTAAGGAGAGTTATCTGGAGGCTCTCAATGTATTGTTCACCGCAGAATTTGGACAAATGCAGTGGTCACCATAGGCAATCGAGCGAATCGAATCGAGGTTTTCTCATGCTGGGATCATGCATAGGAGCGTCGCACTGAACCGTTGTCAACATGAAGATGCAAGAACGTGGCACGGTAGACTGAAGGGATTGAGAATGAGAGTTGTATGACGATCGGTGTAACAGCCGAAGGATGATAAAGAGGTGTAGTCCGAGATGTTCGAGGTCGAATTTGTTCTTCTTTCTTCTCGTGATTTTGCTTGCGATTTTAGCTTGATCATTTTCTACGCGCATTTTGACCAGAAACGGGAACAGAAGAAGTCGTTGGGAGTGGATATCGAAAGCAAGAAGAACAATACCAGAAAATGACAGCGGAAGCGGCAGTAGAACCAATCCAAGTCGTAAGTCTCGTCAACTCACTCATGGAACCCTCGAGACAACCAAAAGAATTAACGGTGCCGTTCGTACAAGGACCATGATGTGGTTGGCAATCTCAGCCTCGACGACAGTGAGTCTGTCAGAGATTCCGAGTCTCTCTACGGCTCAACACAATCTGTCACGGCCAGCATCTACGAATACCGCGACGTCCATGGCCGCCTATATCAAGCATCCAAAACAACAGAGTACATCTTCCCTGTAGACGAACAACACCTCCAAGGCTACGACCTAGCGTGCGTTTCTCCTTCCTGCCATCCTCCAGGCCAAAACATTGACGAATTCCAGCCACGAATACATGCTCATCCTCTTCTCCAACAAATTTCACCTCGCACCCATCTCCAACCCGCAAACCATCCTCGACATCGGCACCGGCACCGGCAACTGGGCCATCGACATGGCTACCGAGATTCCCTCGGCATCCGTAATCGGCACCGACATCTCCGCCGTACAACCCACCTTTGCGCCGCCCAACGTGTCCTTCCAGATCGACGACGCCCAGCTCGACTGGACATTTGAACCTAACCACTTTGACTTTATCCACTGCCGCTTCCTCTACGGCGGCATCGACGACTGGGCCAAACTCTACCGACAGGCTTACACGCACTTGAAACCAGGCGGCTGGTTCCAAAACGTTGAAATCGACATTGAGACCTTATCGGAGAACCCCAAAGTCCAGAATGATCAGAACCACGTCTTCAAAACATGGTGTCAACTCTTTTGGGCTGTGGGGGACAAGACGGGTCGGACCATGCGGATTGGTAGGGATGGAACGATGGAACGGTTGATGAAGGAGCAAGGGTTTACAGAGGTGGTGCACAAGAGCTACAAGGTGCCGATTGGGGCGTGGGCGAAGGACAGGAAGCTGAAGCAGGTGGGGTTGCTGAATTGGCATTATATTGATCAGAGCTTGGATGGGTTTGCGGTGTATCCGATGGGACAAGTGTTGGGATGGAGCAGGGAGGAGGTGGGTGAGTTGGTGGATAGGATGAGGAGAGCGATTAGAGACGTGAGGAGTCTGAGTTATTATACGGTGAAGGTGGTTTATGGGAGGAAACCGGAGGCGGGGCAGTAATATGTGGCATCATCCCGTCTGGATACATGGCACATGGATGGATACCTCTACATGCCCGGCTCATGGATCATGATGGCAACTGTGAGATCCCGACTCCATGCAATGGAGGTTTTTTCCTTGTTAAAGTTTGGAGAATTTCTTCCGTGCCCACAGATGCCCAGTTTGCAATCCTTCAAGGGAGGAAGGAAGGCTCGGTGACGGCACCTGCCATCCAATCTAGCAATTAGGTTCCGTTTGGTCGCCTGCCTGCCCGGCTCTGTGGCGCATCCACTCCTGTTCCTCCTTCTGCCACAAATTGGAATTTTTCGTGTTAATTTCTATCCTCCTTACAAGAGTTCTTTGAAAGTTATCTGCCATCCCAATTCAGCCGAACCATGAAGAATCCCCAGGTCGCCGCCATGTCGGAACCCTATCAGCCTCGTCAATTCGTCGAGAACGTTCGTAGATGTCGCGAGAAGATTCGAAGGCTCGGGCGCGAACTTCTACCTCCCGAAGATCTGGTGCCCGACTTCTTCATGCGAGAACCGATCCAAGTAACGACACCCGCGCGTACCCCGTCGCCCCTGCAACCAGCATTGCAACCTGTGCCCCAGTCCTCAACTCCCGGCGGCTCCAAAGAGCAGATTGCTGAGGAGGTATCCACGAAAGAAGAAGAAAAGGAACAGCGTCGCAAGTCAAATGGGTCGCAACCCGAAATCCTCGTTGCCATTCAACAGCGCATCAATCATTTGGAGGAGCAAAAGTCGTGGCCGGTAGTGCCCCGACAACCACAAGAAATCACATCGTTCAAGGACGCACTCGAGGTGCCCTTGCAAGTAGTGGGATCAAAAGCGACAGACGTTGGATCCCCGGGTACCATCACCCTGATGCAGCACTTCTATGACCACATGATCATAGCCTACAAGAACTCAAGGGCCGATATCGAAGAATTTTTTACTGCTGACCCTGATCGCATATTTGAAAAGTTTCAATCAATGTCGGTCGAAGACCAATGGCGAGCTTTTCCAATGATACAAGCTTACGTATCCAAAGTGAGCATACTGCGTACCGCTACAAAGACCACGAATCCTCGTCACAAACCCAGGTCCTTTGCTGTGCTCGGCGGACCAGGCTCGGGGAAATCTACCATCTGCGCAACATGGGCCAAGCTGGATGGCGGCGTTATGCACATTGCTATTGGAGACATCTTGCGTAGCGAGGCAAAGCGACCTGACAGCCCGTATGCCGAAGTCCTTAAAGCCAATCTTGCAAAAGGCGCAATCGGCGATCCGGAGATGACAGTCGGTCTCATCAAGGACTACATCCGCACCAGGATACGCAGCGCAACCGGGCCTATCCACACCTATCTTCTCGACGGTACGTAAGCAGTTCACACTTCGAACAACGTTTGCCGTGGCCTATTGACACCTTGAACAGGATTCCCTCGCGCTGTTGCGTCAGCCCAATACTTTGAGCGGACCGTCGGTCCCATCAGCAAGGTCATTGTCCTCGATATACCCGAGGCGACTCTCATAGATCGATGTCTCCAGCGAAACCGGTCTGATGACAATCATGATGCCATCCGAGAACGCATCCGCGTTTACAACACCAAGTCGGCCGAGGTTATCTCTGCTTATGCGCTTCGTGGCAAAGTCTCCCTATTGAGCGAGCCGTCTGACTGGTCAATAAGGACTTGGGCAGGATATTGGACCATGGAATTGAATCATAAATTGTCCTATAGCGTGGAAGTCGGACAAGATGTGATTCTACATGCTGTTGCCTGCGGGCTCCTCATATGGGAGCTCTGTGTCATACGCGACGACTGCACCGAACTAAATCCTCGTTGAGAGAGTTTGGGCTTTGCGTTGACGTGGGCTTGGTACTTCTACCTTGTGGAGGCCTGATATGGGGAATGAAGGACACATTCGGAGAATGGAATACAACAGCGATGAGTTAGCGGTGGGTGGGCATGATTTCACGCGATTGTGACAAGTGGTAGAGGCCATCACGGCTGACAGAATGGAGATGACTTAGACGAAGACGGTATAGGATAGAAGCAGATTCAGCGAACTATAAATGTAGGCTCTGATGTCCAGGACGTGCTCTTCGATGAACATGTTGGCTGTGTTGTAGCCGGAGTATCTTATAGGGCCACCTAGTGAGCGGGTGCCGCCGGGGTGGTCTTCTATGTGATCTGTATGGTCTTGTGAGCGCCAGTCCCATCGTATCCAGGCAGATTGCCAACTGGGATGCATCCCCTCCTCCTTGGAAATCTGCCCGCTACCCCCCAAGGTTTTTGGTCAGGAACAACGCCCAGTAACAGGTTTGCTCGCGGATGCACCAAGACTCAATTTATCACGCAGCCGGCATGTACGTGGTCCCTCTAGAAAGCTCACACATGTACCTACAGCATAACATGCACAGAAGCAAAAGCAAGAAGGAGGGGAATCCAGAGTGGTTTACCGCAAAGACTCGGGGCGTTGGGTTTTAGGATCCCAGGAAACCAGGCATAATCTGTAAGCATTCAGCAACATTTATGCCCACCAAAATTTCCATGCAGGACGGTGATTCTGAATGTCCCTACCCTCCAGCGCCCTTGGAAAAAATAGGTGTGAAAAGGCAGAATATTGAAGAATCGAATTTACAGTACTCCGGGGGGGCAACACGCCTCCCCCACTAAAATTTGCGGGCATAAAATGTACAGAATCGAGCATATGTATGTCTAATTATGCCTGATTTCCTGGGATCCTAAAACCCAACGCCCCGAGTCTTTGCGGTAGTGGAGTTGGTCACGGCACTCGCAGGAAAAGAGTAAGTAGAGGTATGTCAATGAACGGTTGACTCGTAGCTGCAATGGTCTGGTTTTGATGTTCTATCAGCAGCAATGCAGTCACTATTTGTCTAACCCGTCCTTTTCTTTTCTGCCTTCGAGGCATCATCATGACCTTCCATTTCTCCCTTCTTCTATCATTAACCGTTGTCCAGATGTGTGATGTGATCTATTGCCTATTCTTCTTCTGTTCCAACGCCTCGCTAAGACAAATGCTTCCATGCTGAACTCCATTCCAAACCGCGCCTCTACCATAAAGTCTCGCTGTCGCTGCTTACCTTTACCGTCGTGACCTACAGAAAGAGAAACCGTGCAAGCAAAAGAAGGGGATGAGTGCTGCAGATAGAGGTACTCTAGGTACGAAAATGTCAGGTCGTAATGTCCAACCAGACCCAGTCAACAGACAAGCCCCATCTTACCTATCCAACTAGGCAGGCACCTCCTTTCCAGTTAGATACTCAATGTTCATAACCTTGTGATCAGTCGGGTTAGCGATCGATACCGCAGCACCGCTACCTAAGGCATGCGGACAAGTAGCCTGATTGGCACCAGCAGCCAAGGTACACTTCTCATCATAACCTGTATGACACAAAGAATCGTTGATGTTCCACAGCTGGTAGTTCTTTCCCACCCAAGTATCGCGAGAAAGGCAAGAAGACAGAAAATTCATGGAGTTTGCGCCCATAAGCGGAAGTTTGCCGGAGCCATCGGTGATCAAAGATTTGCAGTTGTCCGCTGGAAGGTACTGGTAGTGGACCTCACCCATGGCGCCTCCGGCGATGGCGGTGCCAGGTGCAGCGGGATGGCCTGTGGCGAGGTAGTTCCACGCATCGTAGCTAATGTCGTGGGCGCCGCCGGAATGGTCGATGCGCAGGAGAGTGACGCTGCGGCCGTTGGTGACGTTGGTGAGCTTGACGCAGAGGTTGTCGCAGTCGACTTCGTCGGGCCAGTAGGCTACGCGATTGGTGTTGATTTTGCAGCCGAGAACTCCGATCGAGAACGAAAAGAAGGAGTGAGGGGTCACGTCGAAGAGAGAGCCAGAGCCAGAAGACTGGCGCTTGTCGTTGGTATGAGAGCCGGGAGTGTCAACGGGAGAGTGAAGACCGAGCAGAGTTGGGAATTAGTACAGTACTAATTAGTAGTACTAGAGTACTAGACTTTAGTACTAGTACTAGTACTAGACTAGACTAGTACTAGTACTAGACTAGTACTAGACTCTAGTATACTAAAAATACTAATTTCCAAAAATTAATATTTTCGAACTGTACAAACTGTGTGTGTAGTATATAAAAGTAAACAAGTAAGAAGATAGTATCCTTACTTAGTAAAGATTCTTCTTTATTTAGTTATAGTATTTTGATTTTAGATTTTTAAAAAAAAAATAAAATAATTAATTAAAGAAAAATAGAAATAACTTTCTAATAACAAATATACAATCTATAAATTTCACTATTATATACTATAATTGAAATATATGTTAAATCTTCTATTTTAAATATTATTAAAATACTAATTAGTACTAGAGTAGTACTAGAGTAGTACTAGAGTAGTACTAGAATAGTACTAATTAGTATTTTAGTAGTACTAATTTGTTAGGATGCTAAAGGACCACCGCCTCGGGCACTAGGACCCGGCCGGTATAGGTATAGACGGAGACTCAGGACCGCCGGGGATAGAATACTACAATACTACAATACTAATATTCTTAATTATCTTACTAAACTCTTGCCTAAGAGTATTAGAACGACCAATACTTCCCTTCGCCTTACTAACTTCGAATTTAAAAATATTAAAATATTTAATAAAATAAGGTTATTAAGGTAACGCTCTAGCGCCGTATTATAACAGTATACTAATCGGGAGTTCTATAATTATTAGTTACAATAGAATAGAATTTATATAAATATAAAAGTAGTCCGAATAGACGTCCTTTATTATAATTAATAACTATTAATATATTTTTAAATTAATTTTTAATTTAACGTTTTCTACGTATAGCCGTAATTATAATTACTTTAACTTACCTTCCCTTATATCCTAATAAATTAATAGCTCTTCCTCCAAAAATTAAATTAATACTATTAAAATATATATATATAACAGTTAATTTATTTCCTGAACTATTAAAGTAACCCCTCGCCCCTCTTATACTATTACTCCTTTAATTACTATCATTAAGGTTACGTAATTTTCTCCGCCCGTATTATATTAATATTAATTTACTATAGAATTTATTAAAGAAAATAATAATAAAAACTACCCTCTTATACTACTTTAGGCTCCTTACTAATATTTTTAACCTATTAAAGCCAATAAGTTATATATAAATAATAATTATTCGAATTTCGGTTCGCTATTATTAAATTCCTCTTAAATTACCTCCCGTTATAAATATTTTAATAGGATTAATTCGCTTTTATAAGCCTCTCTAAATAAAATATCATTAATAATTATTCCTCTATCCCCGCCGGTTTCTATTATTAAAATTATCTCTTTTATAATTAAATCTATATTTCTATTATATTTTCCCCTATTGCCCCCTCTCTTATAATTATTATTATAGTTACGCCCTCATTATTCGTAGTTCTATCCGCTTATATTAAATATTATTTTAAGTATAATATTATTAAATTTATAAGCGAAAGCTTTTTTTAATTTTAAAACTACTTTTATAATATTAATACGTACTTTTATAAATATCCTTATACTTTACTTTTATTTGCTATTAATTATATTGAAGGTAATTTCAAAAATATCTAAATTAAATATATATTAGTTCTTCGGAATGAACCTAATTATAATACTATTTATAATATACTAATTTAGAATAACCTTCGTACCTTCTTAGAAATAGAATACAATAGTAATACCTAAGCTATTGAGCGGTTAGTTCTCGATAAATTCGAATATATATAGTAAGGCGCCTCTAAAATAGTTTATAATTTCTATAACCGTTACTATACTAACGAATTCAACCTCTTTTACAATTAGCTAAAATATATTCGGATTATATCCCTTATTTAAATAAGGCGTCCTTTCGACGGCCGGTATTAATATAATAAACGAAATAATAGTATATATAAAATAGTTAAAAGGTTTAGAAAGTATTGAGCTATTCATATTACATTGTTAGAATTAAGTATTTTTAGAATATATTTAGCTATTTTCTTCGTTTTAATCTACCTTTACCTCCTTATTAAATACTTTCCCCCTTTTGTTCTATAGTATTAATCCCCCCGACTTATCCCGTTGTCCCCTTCCGGCTTTTTTAATAAACCCTAATTTTATGTACCCCTTCTATAATTAAAAGAGTTATATATATAATCGTTATATATAACCGAAACCGCCGAATATTTATTATAAATATAATATAACTGGTTATTTTGTATTTATATACTAAAATTGAATTTACTTTAATTATAGTAAAGCTAGTTACTAGTAATAGAATTGCCCGGTTCCTACGGGCGCTCTATTATATAGTATAAATACTATATTAATTATAATTAGAGTAGCGGTTATACTTGTTTAGAATAATATAGGTAAATTATAATTATATTTAGAAACGACGTTATTAATAAGGATTTATAGAGATTAGTAAAATATTTTAGGGTTAATAAATTTAAGTACGAAGTTAAACTTATTTAATAAATATTTATTTTTATTAAATATAAAAATTAATTTTATATTGTATTATTTTATTAACTTCTCTCTTTAACCTATTCCTATATATAGTATAATTACCTATTTTATTAAAATTTGTAATACTTATAATATTAAATAAATAAAATAAATTACGTTTATTATTTTTAAATCCCCGGCTATAGA